TGTTAACCAAGGAAGTGAAAGACCTGTATATCAAGAACTTTGTGTCTTTGAAGAAAGAAATCAAAGAAGATACCAGAAAATGGAAAGATCTCCCATGCTCTTGGATTGGTAGGATCAACATAATAAAAATGGCAATCTTGCCAAAAGCAGTCTATAGATTCAATGCAATCCCTATCAAAATTCCATCACAATTCTTCAAGGAGCTGGAAAGAACATTAATCAACTTTATATTGAAAAACAAAAGGCCCAGGATAGCCAAAACATCCCTATACAATAAAGGAACTTCAGGAGGCATCACCATACCTGACTTCAAGCTCTATTATAGAGCTATAGTCCTGAAAACAGCTTGGTATTGGCACAAAAATAGGCAGGTAGACCAATGGAACCGAATCGAAAGCCCTAATTTTAACCCACACACCTATGAACACCTGATTTTTGACAAAGAAGCTAAAACTGTACAGTGGAAAAAAGAAAACATCTTCAACAAATGGTGCTGGCATAACTGGGTAGTGGTATGCAGAAGACTGCAGATAGATCCATGTTTATCGCCTTGTACAAAACTTAAGTCCAAATGGATCAAAGATCTCAACATACATCCAGCCACACTGAAACTTTTAGAAGAGAAAGTGGGAGATACTCTTCAACGAGTTGGTACAGGAGACCACTTCCTAAACATAACTCCAGTGGCACAGGCACTGAGATCAACAATTAACAAATGGGACCTTCTGAAACTAAAAAGCTTCTGTAAGGCAAAGGACACAATCAAAAAGACAAAAAGGCAGGCCACAGAATGGGAAAAGATATTCACTAACCCTACATCTGACAGAGGGCTAATCTCCAAAATTTACAAAGAACTCAAGAAACAAGTCTCCAAAACACCAAAGGATCCACTTGAAAGGTGGGGTACAGAGCTAAATAGAGAATTCTCAGTAGAGGAGGCTAAAATGGCCAAGAGACACTTAAGAAAGTGCTCAACATCCTTAGCCATCAGGGAAATGCAAATCAAAAAAACTCTGAGATACCAACTTACTCCTGTCAGAATGGCTAGAATCAAAAACACCGAAGACAATTTATGCTGGAGGGGATGTGGAGAGAGAGGAACACTCCTCCACTGCTGGTGGGAATGCCGACTCATACAGCCTCTTTGGAAATCAGTATGGAGATTCCTCAGGAAAATGGGAATTAATCTACCACTAGACCCAGCAATTCCACTCTTAGGCATTTATCCAAATGAGGCAGGTTCATACAACAAGGGCATCTGCTCCACTATGTTCATAGCAGCATTGTTTGTAATAGCCAGAACCTGGAAGCAACCTAGATGCCCCTCAACTGAAGAGTGGATAGAGAAAATGTGGTACATTTACAGAATGGAGTATTACTCAGCAGAAAAAAACAATGGAATCTTGAATTTCGCAGGGAAATGGATAGCACTGGAAGAAACCATCCTGAGTGAGGTAACCCAGTCGCAAAAAGACAAACATGGTATGTACTCACTCATATATGGATTTTAGATATGGATCAGGATAGTGCCAGTCTGCACTTCCACAGATAGAGAGTCTGGGAAACAGGAAAGAACCTAAAAGATATGCATATATGCATAGTACCCAAGAGAAGAGGATGGAGACAAGATCCTCTGAATGGATGGGGAACAGGGCGACGGGGGGGGGGTAGTGGGACCTGGGAAGAATAGAGGGGGTAAAGAGGGAGTTGGTCATGGGGGAACAGGAAGTTGAGGGGGTGGGGGTAGAATAGGGGGAAGAGGGAATCATAGGATCGAAGACAGATCAGGCACCAGAGTGACCTCGAGTGATCTAAAGGTATAACATCAATTGGCAAGCTAAGCAATAGTGGAAGGACCACCTCGAATGCCCATTCCTGATAATGAACTTGATGTCTATAACTATCCGGGAGCCTACATCCTGGGACTGATGGAAGCAGAGGCAAACACACAACTAAGCACTGAACTGAACCCAAGGAACCCAGTGACAGAGAGAGAGGAATGATGAGCAAATTGGCAAAGAATGGGCTGGCAAAACCAGCAGAGACAGCTGATCTGAACAGGGGAGTGCTCTTGGACCCCAGACCGACAGTGGGGAGGCCAGAATGGGACTGATCTGGACCCCCCAAATGTGAGTGTCAGTGAGAAGGCCTGGACAACCTATGGGGCTCTGAGCTGTGGTTCAGTGTCTATCCCTGGTATACAATCTGTCTTCATGTGCCTATAGCACAAAGAGAGATGCTCTCTCAGCCTGGACTCTTAGGGGAGTGCCTTGACCCTACCAAGAGTAAAATGATAGACTCTAGACATCCCCTATGTGGAAGGATTTGGCAATAGGGTGGGAGGGAGGGTGGAAGGGGAGTGCGGGAGGAGGGGAGGGAGAGGGAACTGGGATTGACATGTAAAACAAGCTATTTAAAATTAAAATAAAAAAAATAATGTAAAAAAAAAGAAAGAAAAAAAAACCTATAGTGGCTCCGTCTATTGATATGTCTCTTTTCTTGCTCTCCTCTATTCCTTTCCCCACTCAATCTTCCTGATGGATTTCTTTCAATTTATTGTTTGTCTCTTCCTCCACTTCTTTAATGGAATTTTTCATTTCCTCTTTAAGGGCCTATATCATCTTCATGAAGTTATTTTTAAGGACGTTTTCTTCTGCTTCATCTGTGTTGAGCTGTGCAGGTCCTGCTGTTGTAGAGCCACTAGTTTCTGGTGGTTCTATATTGCTCTTTATATTGTGACTGCATTCTTACACTGATGTCTACACATTTCTTCCTCCCAATGGTGCAGGCGGGGCCTGTGCTTCAGAGAGTCCCTCCTCCTCCACTTGATCCTGGTGCGGCCCATGGCTCAGGTGGTTGCTCTTCCTCCAGGAACAGCTGAGACCTGTGTCTCAGTGACTGCTCCTCTGGGTGCAAGTGGGACAGTCCTTCTCGTGGCCACTGATGTGGTGGGGGATGATTGGGATGGGCAGGATGGTGCCAGATTCTGGGAATTCAGCCAGTAAGAGCAGAGCTTGGGATGTTCCAAAGTGGGTAGGACCTAGACAGCAGGACCATCCTACTGGGAGCACAAACATTACCTTCTCCAGGTTCAGGCAGGGTCAAGGCTCCCAAATCTGCCAATAATGTCAGTGAACTGTGAAGCATAGCACCTGTGAGCAGAGAAGACAGGTGGTGTACAGCCTGGCTGAGGACAGCTGCAGCTGGTAGCTGGGAGTGTCAGCCCAAGAAGAGAGTGTCTAATTCTTAGCCAAAAGGACCCCCTTTCCTGTCTAATTGTTAATTTGAAAATCCTGTGATTTTTGGCTAATTTGGGTAAGGGTTTAACATTCTTATCAATATCCTTTACGAACCAAATCCCTGTTTCATTTATTAAAAATTAAAAATCAATGCACAAAGTACACTCACCTTCCTAAATAAAAATATGGAACACACTAAGAAAATAAGAAAACAGGACCCTGTTCTAAAGGGAAACAGATCACACAAAGGTGATCTCAGCACTTGGGGTCATATACCTTTAATCCCAGGATCTGAGAGGTATAAAGGAAGAAGCAAAGTCGACTTTGAGGATTTAGTCTCCAGCCACACTGAAGAGAGGAAGCAGTCTAGGATTGCAGTCTGAGGATTTGTGGAGCTAGTTGGATCCCCCTTTCAGTCTGATGTAGAGAGGACCCAGGTTCCATTTCCAATCTACATGGTGGCTCACAACTCCCTGTAACTCAAGTTCCGAGGAATCCATTACAGTCTTCTGACTTCCATGGCAGGCCTGGAAGTTGGAAGCCTGTGTTCCAATGATGGTCCTGACATTGGCCCTGCTGTGCTTCTCTGGGTCTCATTCTGCTCATCTGTATAACAGGATATGGACGGTGAAAGTGGATGCAACTGTCTTAAAGGATTCTGGATCCTAGCAGCTCAGGCCACAAAGGATTCGTTTTTGTTTTTGGAACTGAGTGTTTGGCTTTTTATAGGTTTTTGTTTGTTTGCAATCCTGGGGATTGAACCCAGGGACTCATACATGCAAGATCTGTCCTTGCCATATACCCTCAGAACTTATCCCTACAGAGGCCTGACTGGTGCTGTTCACAGGCAATATTAACAGCTGAGTCTTCTCTCTCTAGCTCTTTTTATCCCCAGTACCTTCTACATACCTGTGAACACACCCAAATGGGGATGGTCATTCCTATGGGTACATAAACCTCTCGCCACACTTTAACTCTATGAATGTAAAGGACAATATGGCAGGTTTTTTGGGGGGTGTTTTTACACATGTTTGAGCAGTTTGAGTATGGAAACTTCAAAAGTCTGGTTTGTGGCTTTGAAAACCCCCTAAAGTTCACTGATGCCTGCTATGTTCAAGGGAAACTCCAGTTCCCAAAACTCTAAGGGCAGGCCCAGATGTCCTGAAATGGGCTCAGCCTGGCATTTTGGAGGGTTTCTGGAGGGCAGATGAAAGGCAACATTGCTCAGAACCTTATGGGCTTGTTCCAATCTTCCCAGAGTTGTCAATTCTCTCATCACTGGCAGTGTGAAAATGGCTTCTGTGGGGCACATCACCGTGATATCCTCCAGGATCCTCAGTATCACAGGTACCTCCTGCACATTTCAACCTCCATCCCCACCTCCCTACCCTAAACTCATTCTAGGTCACAGCACCCCACCTCCAGCTTCTCTTTCTCTTTCTCTTTCTAAACACATCTTGTTGTCTCCTCCTCTCTCCCTCCTGTCTCTCCTCTGCCTCTCTGATCTGGTTCTGCTTCTTTCATAGCCATGTCCTATTAGCTGACTATTTTCAGGGGACATCTCCTTCTGCTGTGGACATCCCAGATGCCTCTAACTGTTCTACTCTCATAGCTGTCCTCAAATCCTTCCTCTTAAACATATCACCAAGAAGTCATGTTTCAGTTTGTACCAGAAAAAGAAACAGCATAAAATAATTGCATAGCGCATTTTAATATGAAAGCATTACAAACTTGTATACAGAATGCAATATATACTGTCAACTTTTAGAGAAACATTTAACTTTAAAATGTGTATATAGAATAAAATCTTTCTGATGGATTTGTCAGTTGAGTTAAGCAGATCACGATAGGTCTTCTTTTAAAGAACTAATCATCTGCAACTAAAAAGAGAGGCAGGAGTCAGGAGTAGCATCATCAATAATATTACTGGTGACAGTGTCTGGATCAGCAATAGCAGTGGCACCATCAGTAGTTATCATTGTGTCTGAGAAGGTGTGAGAATTACAGTCTTATTTTGTGTGTCTTATTCTGGGATGTTGCTGCTTTAGGAGTTTTGTTTCCAAGATGAGTCACAATATATGAGCAGAGAACAATAGAAACTAATTTTTTAACAGTCATATTTTTCTGCTTAGTCATTCAGAAAACACAAGGTCCACATTAGGAGTGAAATAATCCCCTCATCCAGAATAGGACACAACTGTGGACCTACCAACATTACTTTGTCAGTTTCCTAGGACTAAATTGAATTTGTCATTTTCATGTTATATATTTCAATATGATTAGAAAAATCATTTTTCTGGTTCTAACTAGTGCCTAAATATTCTAATATAAAGCATTCATTTCATTCATTTATTAATAATAATTTATTAATCATATATTTAGTGTCAAAATGAAGTAAAATTCTATTTTCTATTATAAATCATTGCTGTGGTGTAAATTACCTCTATCACCCTTTTGCTTCCTGGTAGCTCCTGGGTAATCTTCTTTTTCCAGCACCTGTTGAATTGTTGTAGTATCCATGTCACCACTGAGATGATGAATATCAGAAGCCACACCAATGTTGTTAGGAGGAGCAGTGGCATGTATGCTAAGAGAAGAGGAAGAGATTCGGTGTGGGTGTTATTTGAAGAGTGGGTGTGGTCAGCCTGATTTGCATAATCAAATATTATGTCAGCATCCTGAGTATGGTTCAGAGCATCCCCTGGGACATGACCATGATCAGATGCTTCTTCACCAGTAGTGAAACTAACACTTGTGCTCTGCTCTAAGGTAAGCTTTGAGAACTGGGTCAGCCTTTTGAAAAGGATCATGGGGCCACTAGTGTAGTGGCGAGGAGTGGGTTCAGGGTCAGCGTGTTGTCCTCCCCTTAAAAGCCCAGCATAAATACCTAAAGGAAGCTTGCGATCATGAACGGCACCAAAGTCCTTTTTTTTAGGTGCCTCAAAAATTTCACCACTATCACCGGTGCCTAAAGAAAATGTTGGCCCAATGTGGGCAGTAGGCTGGGGCACAGCAATGCCGTGATCATCAGGTGTGTTAGGAAAAGGTTCTGCCTTCTTTTCTTCATCCTTTAAGGAAATTTTAAGATGTTAGTTTCACTAAACATTGCACTCATTTGATTCACTTTAGGTGTTAATGATGGGGTGTAAATGGAGTTCTTAATTGGTCTAAATTATAAAAACCCAGAGTCAGATTCAGAGGAAAATGCTGAGAGATCAGAGAGAAGAACAAGCCACCACCACACTATACCTCCTTCACATCTCAGCAGACAAGAGAACAAGTTCCCGTTTCTCCCTGCTTCTCTCCTGTTTCTGCCCTGCTTCCTTTCTGAGTGAGCAAAAGGCCCCGAGTGTTGAGGCATGTTTAAAAAGGGACCTGCTCAGCTTTGTGCCTTCTTTTCTGCTCTTTCCTATTTGACGTTGTCATTCTCTCTATAATGGGGAGATGTAAAAAGAAAAGGACAAAATGTGTCCTCTCCTGTCTCTGTGATCAGGATTTTACTTTCCTCAAGCTTTAGAGAAAGTGACAATGAGGGGCTTTGGGAATAAGAGGAATCTCTCTCTTCTGCATTGCACTAATACTTTCCCCATGGACTTTCACAATTGCCCATTAGGTTCCTGGGATAACAGAGCAGTGAGGGTGACCTCTGAATTGCATGAATACAGTGTTCCAATACCCACAGCAGAGGGGAACAGTGTAGCTGACAAAAGGATTCTGAGAGATGTCTTCCAAGTTCTGACACCTTAACCATGACTATTGTTAGACATGGAGGATGGATGTAATGTTGGCTTGAATTCGGTATTTGAGTGCTTGGTATCTTGGTGGAACTATCTGGGGAGAGTTAGGAGGTTTGGTCTTTGGAGAAGCTGTGTCATTGGGTATGGGCCTTTAGGTTTCGGGGCCTGGTACCGTTTTCAGTGAACTCTGTTGTTTCTTGTGTGCATCAGTTGTAGATCTAGGCCGCTGCTCCAGGTAAATGCCTGCCTGTGTGATCCATGAAAGTGATGACACTCTATGCATCCCATTGGTACCATAACCCTACTCTAAACAAATCCTTCCCTTTCTAAGTTGCCTTGAGCATGGTGTTTTACTACATCAGTAAATGTTATGTATCCATCATTTAATCACAATATGAGCTACATGAACAAAGTGTGAAGGACTCGTTTTGGAGCTGAAAGGCTGTCATGCAGTGAATTATGCCAAAAACAGGGAAACGTTTCCAATGCTGGTTTAGATAGGACACATAGAACACCAAATGATTCAATCAGATACATTTAGGTAGTGTCAGTTTTGTAAATGCAGTTGATGCTGTTTTTCAGAAGGGAAGCCTCATCAACTTTAATCCAATTACAGATAATGACTCCAGGTCTTTGTCATTCATGACATCTCCGTGAAAATCCTAACTTAGCAGTCTATGTTTACATTTTAGTACCATGTTTGAGGAGGCTATGTACTACTTATGTGAAAAACTCACACATTCCAAAACTTACCCACATATGACACATTGTAACACAGAGATGATTTACGAAAATAGCTTAAGAAGCGTTGTTGATGAAAGAAAATAAGATGAGGAAGTATACATCTTACTTGTGGTTCCAAAGGGTTCAAATGGATCATGTAAAAACTTCGAGTTCTTTGCTTTTATTGAGAATGAGGAAGGAACACATCTAACCATGTGGTATTTGTCACACTTTAGACACATTTTCATATGCCACACGTTTCACTCATTGCTTCTTTGTCATTAACTAACTCAGTTACAAAAAAGGAATGAAAAGGTATAAGGTGAGTTTTCCAGGACACATATCACTTGGAAAACAAACAGAAACATGGAAGGTGAGTGAGAAGAATCTGAAGATATTTTCCTGAAGTGTTAGTTACACAATAGGAGTACTAGTTAATATATAGACACCATTTATTTATCAAATGCACAATTTCATTAGATTCTAAAAGGTATTTATTATTGGGGTATGTGTTCTTAATGTTCAAGCCTTTCTATGCTTGTTTTTGCTATGCTAAGACCAGGCATTTAAAACTAATAATAAGTCTCTGTGTGTGGTTTATTTAGGAGCTGGGTGGTGGCGCCCAAAAGAATTGAAGCTAGAGAGTAAAGAGTAAAAACCACCAACTACAATGCTTGTGTGTGTGTGTGTGTGTGTGTGTGTGTGTGTGTGTGTGTGTGTGTGTGTGTGTGGGTGGGTGGGTGGGTGTGGGTGTGGGTGTGTGTGTACGTCAAAGGATAACCTTCAGGAGCTGGCTCTCTGCTTCTGCTGGGTGACACAGGGTCTCTTATTGTTTCCGTTGCTCTGCATGTCAAAGTCTCGCTGGTTTGCAGGTTTCAGAGCTGTTGTATTCTCAGCCTTCAATCTGTTTCAAGGATGTTGGGATAACATATGAAAGATACTTGGTGCTTGTATTTTCCTTGATGAAACTCAGGTCATCAGGCTTGCAGTGTAGGGGCTCTGACCTCCTGAATCATCTTGCTGGCATATATGTGTGTGTGTTCTATCTTTTTAACAAAAAGATGAGAGAGGGAGAGAGTGCATTTTAGCAGTTCAGAATGAAATGATATGGAGAAAACTGTGAACTTCTTATTGCTATGTGAGTCATTTCTTTCTCCATTGCTAAGCACCATCTTTATGCCTGTGTCGTTTCTAAACGTGTGGCTGTACCTCTTCACGGAGAATTGTATTTAGTATTCTCTTAACATGTGGACCTGAGGTTACCTGTCTCAGGTCCGTGATTTTATTCTCATAACATCGCAATTACCAGGTTATGGATTCTGGGAAACTCGTGTATTTATTATGTTTCCTGTGAGTTAAACATTAGAATCTTGATGTCTATTTTTATTTTTATCACATAATTTATTTCTTTGAAGGGAGGAAACCACTGCCCTTTTGATTTAGTTGACTCAGGAACATGCTAAATTCTCATTGCTATTAATGATATTATAGATTGTATTCCAATCATTTGCATATGAAACTTGTTGGTTACCTTCATGCCAACAGTAGCTACACTAGGGACATCACATCCATCACATTATTATTTACATTCAGTGTCATCCTGAAAATTCTTTATTTGTCTAAAATTTCTATTCCCATTAATCATGTTATCTCAAATGTTAATGTATTTTCACTGAAATCTGAGAAGATGGCTGGAAAGGGAATTTTGCTTATTAAAATCAGATGAGATTTCTCTCCTTGCTAAGTCCTACCTCCACCAGTTACTGAATTTTATCTTACACAATAGTTAATACTAATCTGAAAATCAAATTGGTTAGGCTTTAAAGAAAGAACATTTGAGTTTGGTTACTGAGAACATTAAAATTACTGTTACTAATGGTTTCATTAGGCATAATAGTTTTGCAGCGTATTCCCCTTTCTGTCTTAACATTGAACTTAGATGCTTCAACGTGATTAGCTAGTTAACAGCTTGTAGTGGAGACTGGCAATTGGTGTAAGCGCATCTGCAGACAGAGCTAGCTCTTCTGCTTGCTTTACAACTTCTGAAGTAGGGTTAGTACACAGAAGTAGACTATTACATTTATAGTGACTGTGACAAAACATCTGACAGAGATTATTTAAGGGAGGAAGGCTCATGTCTCAAGGGCACTCCTGTTTGCCTCCCCACTGTAACTGACTGAAGTTCCCTGCCGCAGTTACAGTGAGGAAAGCAAACAGGGAGGCTTGCTCTGTGGTAGTGATCTATTGCTTCTCACATGCAGGGAGACCAGGAACAGACAACTCAGAACTGGTACCAGAAGTAGTGATGGCCACTAAGACCCACCACTGGCTACCTTGTGCTAGCTAGACCATTTTCCAAACAGTAACCAGTAACATGGGCCCCCTTCTCTCTGTCACTTTCTCTTGCTCTGTGGTGTGTGCCTGTGTGTTTGTGTGTGTGTGTGTGTGTGTGTGCATGTGTGTGTGTGTGTGTGTGTGTGAATGCTAAAATATTTTCAGTCAGAGTGTAAGTCAGAGAGCTAGTGAGACTGCTCAGTGGATAAGAGCACTGTCCAGGGTGGCTGACAACTGGAATTTAATCCCTGAGCCTGAAATTGCGGGTGGAGAGCACTGACTGTTGTAAACTATCCATTGACATCTACACTTCTTGCATGGCACGTGTGTGCCTTGCCTTCCCCAACCACCAAGTAAGTTGAGACCAGAGTGTCCTCGAACTGACAGAGACCAGCCTGCCTCTGCTTCATGATTGCTGGGATTAAAGTTGTGCACCAACATGCCCAGCCTCTTCTTCTGTTCTTCCTGCTTTCATGTTCTCTGGATTTCAAGGTGTCAAACTGGCAGGCTGATGAGGACTGGGGACCAGGAAGTAAGCAATCATCATGAGGCTGACTACTTTTTTCCACTTATCTTGGCTAATGCTCTATTTGAATATCAGACATATTCAATCCTGGGGATGGAAAAATGGCTCTGCTGTTTATAACCCTTGTTGCCAAAGAAGAGACTTGGGGTGGATTCTCAGCATCCACAATTTGGATGAAAATCATCTGGAACACATATCCCAGGGGATCAACTGCCATGTTGTATGTTTGTGGGCAGTACACACACGGAGGGACGGACAGACAGACGGACGGTGCACAAAGAGGATGCATGCGAATTTATACACATAAAATAATCCAATTTAAACCATACAAGTTTGTTGGTACATTGATGTTGACAGTACCTACTCCAGGAGTCTTAATTATTTATTCTCTTTATTTTTATGAGTTTTTCTCACTTGTGATAAAAGTTGCTCACTTTCTGAATTTTGTTTCCATAGTCAAATTTACTTTCACTTACCCCTTAGAACAGTGGTTCTCAACTTATGGGTTGAGAACCATTTGGGAATCATAGGACCCATTCACAGAAGTCACCAAAAACCTTCTGAATTGCAGATGACATTATGACACGTAACATTAGCAAAATTACAGTTATGAAGTAGCAAAAAATAATTTTATGGTTAGGGTCATCATAACATGAGGGATTGTATTAATCTGTCACATTAGGAAGGGTGAAACTGCTGCTTTAGAAGGTGACTAGCATGGGTGTTCCCAGGAGTTAGCGTCCAAAGGAGGAGAAGGACAAGTTCCAGGCTGCTTCCTCGTCTCTGACACTATTTGCAATAATGCAGACAAAGGAACACGGACACATCATTTCATTCAAGCAAATATTACTTTTCTAATTGGAGGGCATTACCATGAGAAACGTTTTCTTTTCAGGTCTGTCTCCCAAACCACACAGGTTCATTTCAGATTTGCAAACTGTCAGACCCTTCTTTTTTCTGTCCATCTTTTCAGTATGTGAATTTTGTTTCCGTCTTTCCTGCAATGGAATTGTGGAAAATTACTTTCCTGATTTGATTCTGAAATTAATTCTTTTGTGGTGAGGTGCACAATTTCAAAATTTCTTCAGTCCTTAGCAGTCACAGGGTATTGAAACATGAAACGTAGAAACTACCACTAAAAAGTGAAATATCTTCTAATATGTTTATCAATTTACAAATTACTATGGTACCATCTAGAAGTAAAAATATTCAGGCCAGCAAGATTAAGAGAAAACCATGAACTGAGAAATCTGGTCTTGCCTTGTGGCTGAGACTAAACTACATTCCCTGTATTTTAAATTAAGTGAAATTTTCATGAGAAGATTATTAATTTTAATTGGTATGCTTTCATCAGTGTTTCTCTTATATGGTTGGGAGGCAAAACATGTATTATTTTCCATTCATAAGTAAACTCTCATTCAATTCCTACTGTGGTAGAAACTTATTTGTCCTCTGATTCACATTCAAGTCATTAATATGCAAGCAATGATTCACATAAACCTTCACCCTAGGACTCCAGATTACAAACAACCAGATTTCCTAACCTCCAGCAGCTCTCAGGGATAAAATCGCTTTCATATGAGTATACAGATGACTATTTAAATCTCCAATATTGTAAGTGTTTGAATGTGAGACAAAGAATATAAGTGTATGCTATTTTAAAATACAGAACAAAGTCCAGAAGTTAACGTATTATTAAATGGTATTCGAATCTTCACTTTCAGACTGCTGACTAATTGGGGAAAAGATAGTTACTGTGTAACTAGAGGAAGGGTTTTCAATGTAATCCTAGTGGAATCAAATTGAAAACAGGCTGCAATCTCTTCATAATGAAACTTTTGAAGAATATGTTACAAATGGCCAAATTTCCAGAATTCCCTGTTAGTGTAAATACAGAAGCAAAGACAGAATCTGGGGAGATGCTGTCATGTGTGATCCTGAAACAGGAGTGTCCAAGGGAAGATAAAATCTTCCTGAACTTATGTGAAAGGTAAGAAAAGTCTTCCTGGTGGTTCCCAAAGCACCTAAACAAAGGGACCCATTAAAATATATTCAAGTGTATTACCACAGTCAGGTTTCAAAGTCACTCTACTGTGTGTTTGTTTCTGCAAAGCATCCTTGGCCAAACACCAAACATCTACTACGTGAGGACTGCACTAAATTGTACTCACTGTGTTTCCAGTCTGTTCTTGGGCCACTACTACCTGCAAGGACTTACTGCTCTTTTGGAAATTACAGAAAGGGTCATCCACACCTACAAAATGTTTTTTTCTGATCAAGTTTCCATATAAAACTGTGATAGGCACACTACTGATGCATTAAAAATTCATGATTTTCACAAAGAATCATTTTACCTTAGAAACAGAGGATCTATCCTTGTCCTCTCTTATAGATTCAGGAGCATTGGGTTCATGAGAGAGCCTTTAAAATAAAAATGTAACAATTGTTAGCTTTGGTTATTCTAGGATCTCTGTTTCAAGATTCTTTACCTGTGTATTAAAGGCATTTTGCATTTATGCAATTTAATATTGACCTGTGTTTTAAAGATTTTTGCTGCTTTTGTATGTTTCAACTTATATCAGTCTATAAGACATTCAATGAAGATTCACTCACAGTTGTATTGAAAAGTGGGGTACAGACCTAAATAGAGAATTCTCAATAAGGGAGTCTAAAATGGCTGAGAGACATTGAGAAAGTGCTCAACATCCTTAGCCATCAGGGAAATGCAAATCAAAACAATTCTGAGATACCATCTTTACTCCTGTCAGAATGGCTAAAATCAAAAACAACGAAAAATTTATGCTGGAGAGGATGTGGAGAGAGGGGAACACTCCTCCACTGCTGGTGGGAGTGCCAACTCGTACAGCCACTTTGGAAAGCAGTATGGAGATGCCTCAGGAAAATGGGAATCAATCTACCACAAACCCAGCAATTCCACTCTTAGGCATATATCCAAAGGAGGCAAATTCATACAACAAGGGCATCTGTTCCACTATGTTCATAGCATTATTTGTAATAGCCAGAACCTGGAAGCAACCTAGATGCCTCTTAACTGAAGAGTGGATAAAGAAAATGTGGAGTACTACTCAGTAGGAAAAAAACAACGGAATCTTGAAATTCCCAGGCAAATGGATGGCACTAGAGGAAACCATCTTGATTGAGGTAACCCAGTCACAAAAAGACAAACATGTTATGTAGTCACTCATATATGGATTTTAGACATGGAACAGGATACTGCCAGTCTGCAATTCCACTGACAAAGTATCTGGGAAACAGGAAAGAAACTAAGAAAGATATGCACGGTAACCCAGAGAAGAGGAATGAGGCAAGATCTCCTGTACAGATTGGGAACAGGGCTGGAGGTGGGGGGGAGTGGGAACTGAGAAGAAGAGAGGGGGAGAAGAGGAGGAGAGAGTAGGTCATGGGGGAACAGGAAGGTTTAGTGGGGTTAGAATAAGGAGACAACAGGATGAGAAATACCATAATAGATGGAGTCATAGGTTTGAAGAGAGATCTGGGACCAATGAGACCTCTAGCGATCTAAAAGTATGACACCAACTGGCAAGCTAAGCAATAGTGGAGAAACTCCATTAAATGCCCATTCCTGATAATGAACTTGATGTCTACCTTATATGTTATCCTGGAACTTTCATCCAGTGACTGTTGGAAGCAGAGGCAAACACCTACAGTTAAACACTGAACTGAACCCAAGGAACCCAGCGACAGAGAGAGAGGAGCAGTGAGCAAATTGGCAAAGAATGGGCTGGCAAAACCAGCAGAGACAGCTAATCTGAACAAGGGGGAGCTCTTGGACCCCAGATCGACAGCTGGGAGGCCAGCATGGGACTGATCCAGACCCCCTGAATGTGAGAGTCAGTGAGGAGGCCTGGGCAACCAAAAGGGCCCTAAGCAGTAGATAAGTATTCATCCCTGGTATATAAGCAGATGTTGTGTGTCTATAACACAAAGAGGGATGCTCTCTCAGCCTGGACTTTTAGGGGAGTGCCTGGACCCTGCCCTCAGCGAAATGACAGACTCTGGATATCCCCTATGTGGAAGGAAATGGGGATAGGGTGGGATGCTGGGGAGAATGGTGGGGGGTGTGGGAGGAGGGGAGGGAGAGGGAACTGTGATTGACATGTGAAGCAAGCTAGTTAAAATTAAAGTAATAAAAATAAAAAAATAAAAAATGACAGTCAGTGGCTTAGAAGATGACTCAGTCAATCAAAGTGCTTGTTGCCACACACACCAGCCTGAGTTTGAATCATACAACGCTGGAAATGAACACATATACTTGTCATCCAGTATTGTGTATAACAGAAGAGGGGTCATTTGTCACCCAGTATTGTGATGGACAGGACAGGGAATCATTCCAGCTTTTTGACGGCCAGAAATCTCCAGGTTCAGTCAGACAGCTTATGTAAAGTACATGAATTCGAAAATGATAGAAAACAGCAATATCCTCATCTTGTCTTCATGCCTGCACACACAACCACACACACACACACACACACACACACACACACACACACGTAGGAAGACACTAGTTCTTCCCTAGTCATTTTTAAGACTGCCATAACTGATGGTTTATATTCAAGTGCAAAATAAAATTAGTGCCTTGATTTCACAGCTCATATAATTCTGTACTCCTAGAGCACAAAGGAAAATGGGAATCAATCTACCACAAACCCAGCAATTCCACTCTTAGGCATATATCCAAAAGAAGCAAATTCATACAACAAGGGCATCTGTTCCACTATGTTCATAGCATTATTTGTAATAGCCAGAACCTGGAAGCAACCAGATGCTTCCAATCATTTCTACGACAGTCAGTGGCTTATAAGATGACTCAGTCAATCCAATCATTTCTATGAACTTAAGATAAAATCAGGAGCAAACAACAATAAAACTCAATGGACAATGTCAGGATTTTCCTTTGGAACCATTTAGAATTCCAAGTGGAAAGTAACTTTCTTTCTGCAAGGTGTGTCTGAGAACAGTTTTAGCGACTGGAAATTATGAATCTGCATTTTTGACAATAGCTGTGATGCTTTTGGATCCTTTATCTTGGAGTAAATAAGATATTTACTAATGTGTACGAAGTGTTTAATTGATACATAACCCACAAAAGGTTACACATGGAAGGGAGTAATCAAAAAGAGCACAGAACTATGAAAGTTGCTACCCTGACACAAAGGCCTCTGCATGTGGCGATGGTGTCAAAGGAGTAAGGTAATTTGTTGTTTCCTGTAATCCTGTCTGATGACTCAGAATGGTCCCTAATTCTATAGTGTGGAGGAGCACAGATCATGTCCCACCAGGACGGGGAGTGGCCCAAGGTGAAGATTGTCCTGTCAAAAGAAGGAGTGGCCCAAATCTGAGGACCAGCTTCATTACAAGTTGGCTCTGGGAGGAAGCTATGGAGGCAAGGCTTCATGTGTTTACAAGAAAAACAATTGGCTGCCCAAACTCATAACAGATGAGGTCATCACACTCGCAGACCATGCACAAGAGGGGATAGGACACTAAATACAAAATAGGAATACCTTTAAAATTATTTGGTAATACTTTGCACACCCTCTGGTTTATTACTTTAAGAGGACTTTGCTGTTAAACAATAAATGAGATCTTGCTGCCTTGACTCCCTGTTGAGTCTGATTTTCTTCAGGTTTTGGTGAGGCTGTGGGACTGTCAAACAGCAGACTCTACCCTCTCTCACCTCCACCCAGGGGCCCCCAAAAACCCCCAACACTGTAGGCTCTCAGAAGGATAAATGCCTTGGAGTTATAGTTCACAAGGGGATTTCAGAAGGTTTTGGAAAGCCGAGGACTATCAGAGAGTCATCAATGTGTGGTTAATATCAGGAGGCTCATTCTCTAAAACAGAGTTGATATTGTGGAGATGATGGTGGGGTATAGATGTTATGTCCATAGGAACTAAAAAGAAGAACTTTCTAGTTTAAAAATAAATTGATAATGCTATGGGAAATGTAAGACAAAGCAAAATTACATAGATAAACGGGTGTTTATCTGAGAGAGCAGGCAAAAATAAACTAATTGTATTTTGTTTTATCTTACCTGCAAAAAGGCATCAAGTCAGTGCAGTGACGTACTTGTAATACTAAAAGCAAAATGTGTTTTATTACAACTCTAATAAAACATAACATATAAAAATGATTAGACTCATTTTTAGTATCAATTTTTGAGACCAATCTAGAGATTATTCTAGAGTACATATTCATTTGGAGGCAATTACTTCATGTAGAATTTGTCCATTTTCAATATATTTCAAATCAAAGATGTCATAAATTTATCAATTATAATAACAAAAATAAACAACCATACACAATTGTGATGATCCTAAATAAACTCTGTCGGACATGGAGAGCAGCATCCTTTCCAGTATAAGTGTCATCAATTGACTGTCATAAAATAACTTAAGGTGCTTCTTGTTTGAATTGGGGTAATAATACTTGAAAAGAAATTCTAGATTAGGTGTGGTGGCACACAGTTTTAATCTGGATTCCTGTGATTTTTCAAGACAAGAAGATCTATGTAACAGACAGACTGTGTCTCAAACACAAAACAAAAACAACAGAGAAAAAAATGAAGAAAAAGTCCATGAGCCTATCTACACTTTATTGTTGTCCAGGAAAACAAAGCAACTTTTTTTAGATGAAGTTGTTCAATATGTGATGCAAATTCCTACCACTGGGATGTATGGCTGTCCCTGTATCATGATGAAACCTAGCAGAAACAATCAGAAGTGGACAAAGACATTTACAAACGGCTCAAGGGAAGACACCAAGCTTACTGTCCTTGTCCCCTTTGAGGGAAGAAGCTCCTTAGCTCCATATGTCTTCCCAGCCTTGTGTGCATCTTAAAGAATGCTCATGAAAGCATCTGTCATCATGCATGAATAGAATTATTGCAAAGGCCCGGCCCTTGGTAGTAATGCAGTCCAGCCCTATCTCAGGGGAGAGAGCAGCAGAGCAGCAGCTGTGAAATGGAGGCAGCAAGTTCCATGGGTCACCTCTGACATGGATCACTGTACACGTTTACATACACTAACTATGCACTCGCTCAAGCCTTCGCTGTGCACATGCAATAAGTGTTTAGAAATAAACATTCATTTTTTTCTCCTACTTAAAGTAAGAGAGACTTAGTGTACCTTCTTCGCATTCCCCATGACTAGAAGGACATTTGTCCCATCAACTGGTGGGCTGTGATTGTGGGATGCTGATCCTGCAGGAAGCCTTGGTCAGTCCTCACCACCACAAATGCCAAGAGCACAAAATTATAATAAAGTGATAGAAGAAAAGGTGCCTGCATCACAACACTGTCAACCCTCTTCACCTCACCTCTTGAGGGAAGAAGGTCATTGGATTCATTCCCTAATGTGTTTTCAATAGCAACTTAGGTTTAAAAGACATTGGGATGACGGTTGCTGAAAATGTAAACCCTGCAGTGTTCCTTCCACTGTCACAGAGTCTCTCCAGACTCAATGGAGAAGTAACTAATTCTTTAAAACCCAGACTGATGTTGTTTTGTTAACTTACTCCTTGTGTCCACATTTTTTGGAAACCATGCTTTGAGCATGGAAATGGTGTATCGTTTTATCCTGTTCTATTTAATAAAAACTAAAAGGAAAAGTACTAAAGGTAGAGTTGATAGGAAGGGTGTTTGCCTAGAATACCCACAATGCCCCATGTTCAACCTCGAGAAAGGGAGAAAACTAAAATACAAGAAAGAAAGAGGTAAACAAGGAAGGAAGAAAAGAATGGAAGACAGACAGACAAGGAAGTTACTAATGAAAACAGTTATAGACTAAACCAAAACTGTCTAAATATAGAAATCATAAAGAAACAGAAAAAGCCAGATGATTTTTTACATCATTGGGTAAAAAATTAAGTAATAAAAGTGGTTGTGTATGGTAGATTCATTTGTGACATAGTTATATTTTAGTGGCACTGAACTGTATAACATCATACAGTACAAAATATAAGGCATTTGTCATAAAACTCCGGGAACATCTATATTTCTATCAATGCAATTCACTACAATGTAGCTATGATGGACATATGCTGCATTAAGAAGTTTTCTTATGAACAGGAGAGATGACTTAGAGGATAAGAGCATTACTGCTCTTCCAGAAGTCCTGAGTTCAATTCCCATCTAAAATGATGTCTGATGCCCACTTTTGGTGTGCAGACAAATATATAGATAGAACACTATACATAATGAATACATAAATTGTTTAAAAAAGTTTTTCTCATTTATTCAAAGACATTTCAGGTATCAGCATTAAAATCAAATAAGCAATGTTTCAGCAATATATTTTAACACACAAAAGTACTTAGAAAACATTTCTGAAATAATTGTCACTTTCCAGAATACATAACTACATTTGTACTTGATTTCCTTAACACTTTGGTTAAAATCTTTAGTCTACCGTAGTTTCTTTAGGGAAGGTAGGATCAGATAGAGTATTTCAGTATAAAATTCTTACCATTGTTGAATCTTACATGCTTTTTCTTTCTCTGTTCTCGCTTTTTTGAAGATGTCCCTACACTGTGACATATATTTAAAAGTGACTATTTTAATATTCATAAAAAACCGAGTATTTTCTAAATTTGTTATTTTTGAGTGCCTAATACATGTTATATTAGATATTTACAAGTATTTTTGGCACAGGGTGTCATTATGTAGCCCAGCCATCTTTAAATCCACTCTATGGGACATGTTGGCCTTGAAATAACAGAGTTCTCTTGGCCTCCTGCCTCCCAACTTCTGGGACTAAAGTCACGGGCCAACAGACCTAACCAAATAACTCTGAATTCATTCATCAACAGATAATTAAGATTAATGACTGCTGTCCTTCCCACCTTTTCTCATGGAGAAGAAACAAAAATAATTTAGCTCCTGATTAAAACACACACACACACACACACACACACACACACACACACACACAGCAGAGCAGAGCAAGCAATAGTTCTTCCATAAGTTTTGTTATGATGGATCAAGTAATTTTCTGTTTTTGTGCTCATGGAGTTAGTTCTCCTGTTTACTCATGGGCCCCCATGTCCCAAATGCCCCACAGCCATATCCCGGCATGATTATTCAGAGGCATCATTTCGTTGAGGGCAATGCTGTCTACTAAGACGGAGGTTCAGTATATCATGAAATTTGTTTTTCCTTTTTGCTTCTAAGCATCACTCTTCCTGCATACTCAGAATCTATGACAATTGTGGTACCTTCAAGATAGTTTCAATATTTCATTCACAGTGAATGCTGAAACCACTATCTGGTACTTGCTTTTTTCAGGAAGCATTTCTATATAAGGCTGAGTCTTTGTAGGTCACTGGAGAGCAACACTGTTCCCCCAGCGCTATTTCACCCTAACTACAGCTAAGAGCTCCAGACTTCATATCTTCTTGTTGGTAAGCCTTGGACCAAACACTTTCTTTTCCTACCTTGGGTCACCTGAGGTGTGGAGCTCACTGGGGCCTATTGACCTGCGGTACAGAAGCATGTCTGTAAGGCCATTCTGAGGTGACAGTCAGCAAACGCGGGAGAGACTTCAACATTGCATTTTACTCACACTCTTCCCAGGAGACAACCTCCTCCAAACATATTAGTGAACAGGATTAATACCTGAAAACTAATATTTTTACACATATGTGCATGACATGTTATGCACAGTGTATTCATATGTATATGTCATTTCAGGTCCACACATGCCAGTGTGCACTTGGGTGACTGCAGTACAGATGTGGGGGTTGACCCCAGGCTTCAACCTTAGGTTTGTGGCTTTATCTATTATTCATGAATGCAAACCCCAGCCTAAATCTCCAGCAAACGTCAAGGGATTCTCTGTCTCCACCTCCAATCTCACCATAAGCTTCCAGGATTACAGATGCACTCAAGACCATCAGGCTTCATGTGGATTCTGGGCACCCATCTGCCATTCACACATGTGCAAAGCAGGCACTTTATCCATGAATCACCTCCCTATCTATGGCTTATTAACAGCATTTCACACTGTGCAATATTGTGTGCTCTACTAAGAATTATACTGCCCTGATTAACAGATACATAAAGAAGATGGAATTGTATTGCACAGAGGAAAACAGGGTGCCAGTTTCTGAACTTTATATTGTCTGCATACTTGTTGTATTTTACAATCCAAACACCCTTACCAGAATGACATCTTGTGTTGTATTCTTCCACTAGCTACAAAATAAAAAGCAAAAATACATTATAAGCCTCTGTAGAAAATATGAGCATTAAGTGCCAAGGCTAATATTTTTATTACATATACATTGACACAAATTCTGTATAGCCTTTTAAATGAATATTGATTTATGCACACTAAATACATGGCGAATTATTAATTTTCACTTCTTTGTTGTTTCAAACACAGAGACAAATTTATCAATATTTACTACTTATAATAAATTGGTGGGCAAAACACCTATGATCTTGAGCACTGTCAAACAGAGAACCTGCATCTTAAACAGAATCGCTATCACAGACTGAGTGTTAAAGTGAAGCACATTGATGCTGTTGCTGGTTTTGTCTCTGGAATAGCGGTGCTGGGAGAAATGCAGGAGAATATACTCACCTTGTACAGAAGTGAAAAGAGCTTCTACAAGGATTGAGCTGAGGATGGAAACTCCAGACACAGGAAGCTAAGTCTATGGTGACTGTCCTTTGTAGTATAGCAAAACATGGGTAAGACAAGGAGACCAAGGACAAAGACCTTTGCAAGGAATTTCCAGCTGCCAGTGTGGCAAAGCTCCAGAGAGTTCAGTGTGTGCTCTCCTGGACTGCTTCTGAGGAAGACGCCACTTCCCCTCAGTTCTAGATCTGTCTTCTCTCTCCTTTGCAGTGAAAACAAGTTCAGCATCAGCTGCGATCCCCTCCCATGGTAAGGGCTGTTGGAAACACCCTGCAATCCTTATGTACCCTGACCTGATTCTCCAGGGAGAGAAGCATGGAAGAAATGCGACAGAGCAGCAATTCCAAGGGAGGAATAACTCAAGGCAAACATTTTTGTTTCCACAAATAAACCATCCAGTGAGGTAAACTTTCACTGTATGCTGAGAGCCTGCCCTCTACTAAGGAACAAAAACAATTCTTGTTTATTTCATTTTCAGCATGTAAAACTGCATTGTAAACACATTGGCAGTGCCCTTGCTAGCACAGAGCATTTGCCCCTCTAAAAATGGAATGAGAATGTGATTTAGCATGTGGGAGTTCTCCATCACCCTCTTCACCACAAAGAAAAAATCAATGCAGGAATAGAAAATCACTCATATTACATTAATACTGACTCTTTAATCTCACCATTCATGTGAAGAAGGTCATTCAGATTCCTCTATACTATTTCCTTGCTGATGTGCTATCCTAAGGCAAGGTCAGTGTTAAAGTTGCTGTGATGACAGTTGTTGAAAGCCCTAACTCTGCAGTGTTCCCCCACTCATAGAATCTTAGCAGCACGCCATGGAACAGTCAGTGCCATCCACTACTGAATGATGTTCTTTTCTCATCCTTTCTCCTGCTGTGGCAAATTGTTCTGGAAATTATGTCTTGCAGCATGTAAACCAAGTATCACCATAGCCTACACTATGTAATAAAACTAAAGCAAAATGGTTCTGGCAGTGTAGCCAATAGGGAGAATGCTTGCCTAGAAGACAATGTTCACTCCCAAGCACTGCATACAGAACCCAAAATCAATTCTTTTTTTTTTTTTTTGGTTTTTCGAGACATGGTTTCTCTGTAGCTTTGGAGGCTGTCCTGGAACTCATTTTGTAGAGATCCGCCTGCCTCTGCCTCCTGAGTGCTGGGATTAAAGGCGTGTGCCACCAACGCCAGGCAATTTTTAAAAGGTTTTAGGAAGTATATTTCTTATATCAAGATATATGCCTAAGAGTGGAGTTGCTGGGTCTTGTGGTAGGCTTATTCACATTTTTCTGAGGAATCTCCATACTGATTTCCAAAGTGGCTGAACAAGTTGGCACTCCCATCAGCAATGGAGGAGTGTTCCTCTTTTACCACATCCTCTCCAGCATAAATTGTCATTGGTGTTTTTGATTTTAGCCATTCTGTCAAGAGTGAGATGATATCTCAGAGTTGTTTTGATTTGCATTTCCAGGATGGCTAAGGATGTTGAGCACTTTCTCAAGTGCCTCTCAATCATTTTAGACTCCTCTATTGAAAATTCTCTATTTAGTTCTGCAGCCCACTTTTTAATTGGATCCTTTGGTGTTTTGGAGACTTGCTTCTTGAGTTGTTTGTAAATTTTGGAGATCAACCCTCTGTCCAATGTGGCGTTAGTGAATATTTTTCCCTTTCTGTGGGCTGCCTTTTTGTCTTGCTGACTGTGTCCTTTGCCTTACAGAAGCTTCTCAGTTTCAGGAGGTCCCATTTATTAATTGTTGATCTCACTGTCTGTGCTACTGGTGTTATGTTCAGGAAGCTGACTCCTGTACCAATTCGTTCAAGGGCACCACCCACTTTCTCTTCTAAGAGGTTCAGTGTGGCTGGATTTATGTTGAGGTCTTTGATCTATTTGGACTTAAGTTTTGTGCATTAGTCTACCACATCTTAATGAAAGTAATTGAATATTGTACTTGTATCTTATTTTCATGATCACATTATACAACACTGATATATATATTATAATATGTAGTACAAATACAGTGCATTTATTATAAAATAAAAGAAAATCAACTTTGTAACAAACAAACTTGCGGTTAGGTGACTAAAGGAGCAAATTCTGTGGACCAGGTCAGAAATCTTTTTATTTAAAAAGATACTACATGCATCAGAGTTTTGTGTTAATAAAGAACCATGTTTCTGATGATATAATTTGAGATTGGAAATTCCTCAGAAAGCATTTATTAAATAGTTCTGAGTCCCACAGGTGTTATGAGACAAATTAAATAGAATATAACGTATATCTGATTTCCTTTTTTACTTTCTTTGAAGGGACAATACTCTTTTGAAATAAGGGAATTAGCTGTGGAGCACTAACCATCAATCTTACCTGTAGTAAGGTGATCAGACTTCTTGAGTATTGATTTTAGCTGTGTAGGTGGTGTTAATCCACTGTGACAAATTGTAAAAAGCAATATTTTATTATAAAATATTTACCAAATGAATTATTTTATATTTGATTTCCTAACGCACAGTCCATTGGTGATTTGCAGATACATTTAATTTGTCCTTCAACCAGTTGATTATGTTGGTGACACTTTCCTTATAACTTTTTTTCATGTGGAAGAAAGGGAGGCATTTAGTCCACAAATATTAGCCCAATGAAAGCATACACAGAAGCACAGAGACACAAAGACAGCAGACACACACACAATTTATGTGTTCAATGAAACTAACACCATAGTTCCAGTTGTCATGTGCTCCTAGAGAACCAAGCACCTCCTGTGTCTTGATTCTTTGTGGGTTTCTTACTGAATGTGATATGTCACAAGAGGTTGGTTTGTGAACCAAAAAATAGATACTAAAGAATGTTTTAGTAGCATTCTTAAACTACCATAACTTTGGGAACTTTCAAGCTATTCCTGAGTAGAGCATTCATGAGTGAATCTTGAAACCACAACCTGGCTGCTTTTATTCCAACCAGTCATTTCTATGATCTGAGATAAAAATATGAGCAAAGAACAATAAAACTCAGTGGACAATGTCAGGATTTTACTTTGGAACTCTTTAGAATTCCCAGTAGAAATTAATTGCTTTATGTGAGGTGTGTCTTTGAACAGTTGTAGTTACTGGAAATAATGGCTCTGCACTTTGGACATTAGCTTCTGGATGTTTTTGGATATTTATCTTGGAGTACATAAGCTATTTACTAACGTGTATCAAATGTTTCCTTGTACGTAGCCCCACAAAAGATTGCACACTTGTCCTCTATCCTGGAAGGGAGCAATCACAATGAGCACAGAGCTGTGAAGGTGGTACACCTGACACAGGCCTCTGCATGAGGCGATGGTGACAAAGAAGGAAGTCATTTGTTGTTCCCTGAAATCCTGTCTGGTAACTAAGAATGGCCCCTAATTCTGTGGGTTCTCAGAAGGATAAATGCCATGGAGGTCTTGTTCACAAGGTGATTCATAAAGCTCTGGAAAGCTGAGGACTGTCAGAGGGACATCAGTGTGTGGTCAACATCAGGAGGCTCATTTTCTAAAACACAGAGCTATACTGCGGAAATAATGAGTGAGTGTAAACGTCATCTCCATAGAAACTAAAAAGAACAAATTTTTAGTTTAAAAATAGATTGTTACTACTGTGGGGAATATAAGACAAAGGAAAAATTACATAGGTAAAAGGGTTTCAATCTGAGAGTCCAAGCAAGAAAAGCTTGTTCTCTTTGAATTTCCATAGGAGTAATATATTATTAAATCTTACCTGCAAAAAGGCATCATGCCTGTACTGTAATGTACTTCTAAAAATATAAGCAAAATGCATTTTATTACAATTCTACAAAAATAAACCATATAAAATGATTAAACACATTGTTAGTACCATTTCTTTGAGACCACTCTGGACACTATTCTAGAGTAAATATTCATTGTAAGCAATTATTTCATGTAGAATTTGTCATTTTACTTATATTTCAAATGAAAAAAGAAGTAAATTTATCAAGCATAAAGCCTAAAAATCAACACCAACACACAAGTGTGATAATCCTAAATGATTTCTGTCAGAAAGATGGAGAGCAGCATCCTTGCAAGCATAAATGTCATCCATTAACTGTTATAAAATAACTTCATGTGCTTCTTAGTTGATTTGGGGATAATGATACTAGAAAAAATTTCTAGATTGGCTATGGTGGCACACAATTTTAATCTGGATCCCTGTGATTTTCAAGACTGCCAGAACTATGTAACAGACAGACTGCGTCTCAAAAACAAACACAGAAGCAAACATCAGAGCCAAAATGGAAAAAAAGTACAAGACCCTATACACTTTATTATTGTCCAGAAAAAAAAGGAATTTGTTCAGCCTTTTAGTTGAATTGTTCAGTATATGATGCAAATTCCTACCACTAGGATGTATGGCTACTGCTCCTGTATCATGATTAAACCTAGCAAAAACAATCAGAAGTGGACAAAGACCTTTACAAACGGCTCAAGGGAGGACACCAAGCTCACTCTCCTTGTCCCCTTTGAGGGAGGAAGCTCCTTAGCTCCAGATGTCTTCCCAGCCTTGTGTGCATCTTAAAGGATGCTCATGAAAGCATCTGTCATCACACATGAACAGAATTATTGGAAAGGTCCCGCCCTTGGTAGTAATGCACCCCAGCCTTATCTCAGGGGAGAGAGCAGCAGAGAAGCAGCTGTGAAATGGGAGCAGCAAGTTCCATGGGTCACCTCTGACATGGATCACTGTACACGTTTACATACACTAGCTATGCACATGCAGTATGTGTTTAGAAATAAAACACTCATTTTTTGTCCTACTTAAAGTAATAGAGACTTAGTATGCCTTCTTAGCATTCCCCATGACCAGTAAGGACATTTGTCCCACCAACCGGTGGGCTGTGATTATGGCTCAGTAGGAAGGCTATGCTGATCAGGCAGAAATCTTCAGTCAGTCCTCACCACCACAAATGTCAAGAGCAACAAAATTATAATAAAGTGATAGAAGAAAAGGTGCCTGCATCACAAAACTATCAACCCTCTTCACCTCACCTCTTGAGGGAAGAAGGTCTTTTGGATTCACTTCCTGGTGTGTTTTCAATAGCAACTTACGTTTAATAGACACTGGTATATGACAGTTGCTTCACTGTCACAGAGTCTCTCCAGACTCAATGGAGAAGCAGATCATTCTTTAAAATACAGAATAATGTCCTTTTCTTAATTAACTTCTTGTGCCATTTTTTTCTTTTTTGGAAAGCATGCCTTGCAGCATGGAAATGGTGTCATCTTATTCTGTTATATTTAACAAAAAGTAAAGGAAAAAGTACTAAAGGTAGAGTTAATAAGTATGATGATTGCCTATTACACTCACAAAGCCTCTAGAACTTCAGAATATCAAAAACAAAAGAGAGAAGGAAAGAATGAAGAAAGCAAGAGAGAGAGAGAGAGAGAGAAGGAAATCATATATCAATTGAAGTCTTCCTAAATGAATTACATTCTCTAAGGCAAAACACTTCCATTCTTTTAAAATGGGAAGTTACTAATGAAACAGTTAAAGAATATGCCAAAACTGTCAGATTTAGAAATCACAAAGAAATTGAAAAACCCAGATGGTTTTATTTACATCATTAGGTAAGTAATTAAGTAATGAAAGTGATTGGGTACTGCAGTCTGGTTTGAAACATAATTACATTTTAGTGACACTGAACTGTATAACAGTATGCAATACAAAATGCAAGGCATTTGTCATAAAACTCAGGGAGAATCCTTATTTCTAACAATGCAATTGGCTACAATGTCATATGGAGGACACGCTACATTAAGTATTCTCATTAATTAAAAGACAATTAAGATATCAGTATTAAAATAAACAAGCAATGTATCGACAATACATTTTTGTGTGAATTGTCGTTTTCAGAATGTTAGAAAACTGCATAACTACACTTATACTTGATTTCCTTAACTCCTTTTGAGTCTTTAGTCTCAAATCTTTAGTCTTTCTTGTTTTCTTTAGGGAAGGTAGGACTAGATAGAGTAATTCACTAGAAAATTCTTACCATTTTTGAATCTTTCATGCTCTTTCTTTCCCTGCTCTTGGGCTTTTGGAGATGTTCCCACACTGTGACACATATTTAAAAGCAATTATTTTAATATTCATGTAAAAATAGGATGTTTGCTAAATTCTTTATTTTGAATGCCTAATATACATTAAATTAGATATTTACAAACATTTTCTGAAACAGGATCTCATTATGTAGCACGTGTGGCTGTAAACCCAATGTGCAAAATGTTGGCATTGAAATAACACAGCTTTCTTGACCTCCTGCATCTTATGTACCTGGATTAAATCTTGGTAAAGAGCCCTACTCAAATAATTCTAAATTCATTTTTCAGCTGCTAATTATGATTAATGCATGGTATCCTTTCCCCTTTTCTCATGGAAAAGACACAGACAGAAGTTAGCTCTTGATTATAACAACACACACACACACGTGCACACAAGCACGCACGCACGCACACACACAAGACCAGCGGTTTTTACATATGATTTGTTATGATGACTCCAGTAACTCTGTATTTTTGTGCTCATGGAGTTAGTGCTCTTGTTCACTGTCCCTAGGGCCTCCTAACTCCTTGGAGGCATTTCATTGATTGCTCTGCTCTCTACTTGAGGGATGTTCAGTATGTCATAAGTCATTTTTTTGCTTGTAAGCATCCCTCTGCCTGCATTCTTGGAAGCCATGGCATTTGTGGTACTTTCAATATGATTTAATAGTTCCTTCCTCGGGAATGCTGAGACCTCTACCTGGTTGTTTTGTTGTTCAGTTAGCTTCGTGTGTAATGCTGAGACCTTATAACTCACAACCAGCTTCAAAACTCACAGGAAGCAATGCTCTTTTGTCAGCTACAAATTCCCTGGACACAGGTAAGAGTGCTGTCTTTCAGGGCCTATTGCTAGTATACTCTGGGCCAACAGCTTTATTGTCCCAGGTTCTACATTGGGTATAACCACTGTCTTGCAACTTCTTGTAGGGACTTTCAACCAGCTGTGTGAACCTTGTCCAAAAGTCCTCTACTGCTGAAGTGATCTCCACAATTTGTGGGAAACCTTCAAACTTGATCATTACTTTCACTGTATTTCTTTTGCACAGATAATGATTCCCAGTTTGATTAAATCAAAATCTTAATTTACATTTGAGTCTCCATATTTGATGTGTGCTCCTGTTCACATGTGTGTATGCATTTGTTTCTGTTGAGCAGGTGCCCCTGCATGTGTTTTGAGGTAGAGGACATCCTTAACAGTCAGTCCTTTTCTCCTAACTCTGTTGTGAGACAGATTCTCTTGTTGTTAATAGCTGTATAAGCCAGGTTAACTAAGGCCTAGGTTTCCAGGCAGTCTTCTGTTTCTGTCTTCCATGTCCCTCCAGGCTCCCTGGGATTAAAGATGCACACTAGCATAGCTACCTTTTCTGGGTTCTGAGGAGCTGAACTCTCAATGCTTGGGCTTGTGTGGCAAGCATTTTACAACTGAGTTACAGCCACAGCCATGAATTATTAAAACTGTGCCACACAATGTCAAAGACTGAGACATATTTTCCTTGTATGATTCAAAAAGCATCAGTTGTACCAATTTCTGTTCATCTTGCACTAAATGAGGAATAAATACCTTTTAAAGATCCTCACTAGGACACTGAGATTGACAATTAACAAATGGTACCTCCTGAAACTAAAAAGCTTCTGTAAGGCAAAGGACACAGTCAACAAGACAAAAAGGCAGTCCACAGAATGGGAAAAGATATTCACTAACCCCACATTTGACAGAGGGCTAATATCCCTCTTTACAAAGAACTCAAGAAGCAAGTCTCCAAAAACAGCGGAGGATCCAATTAAAAGGTGGGATGCAGAACTAAATAGAGAATTCTCAATAGAGGAGTCTAAAATGACTGAGAGACACTTAAGAAAGTGCTCAACAATCTTAGCCATCAGGGAAATGCAAATCAAGACAACTGACTCCTGCCAGAATGGCTAAAATCAAAAACAACGAAGACAATTTATGCTGGAGAGGAGGTAGAGAGGGGAACACTCCTCCACTGTTGGTGGGAGGGCCAACTCGTACAGCCACTTTGGAAATCAGTATGCAGATTGCTCAGAAAAATGGGAATAAACCTACCACAAGACCCAGCAACTCCACTCTTAGGCATATATCCAAAAGATGCCCATTCATACAAGGATGTCTGTTCCACTATGTTCATAGCAGCATTATTTGTAATAGCCAGAACTTGGAAGCAACCTAGATGCCCCTCAACCGAAGAGTGGATAGAGAAAATGTGGTACATTTACACAATGGAGTACTATTCAGCAGAAAAAAACAATGGAATCCTGAGATTTGCAGGCAAATGGATGACACTAGAAGAAACCATCCTGAGTGAGGTAACCCAGTCACAAAAAGAGAAACATGGCATGTACTCTCTCATATGTGGATTTTAGACATAGATCGGGGGAGTGCCAGCCTACAATCCCATGACCAGAGAGTCTGGGAAACAGAACCTTCATTCAGTGGCTGATGAAAGAAGAGGCAGTCTCCCACGGTTAAGTACTGAGCTGAACTCAAGAAAGCCAGTAACAGAGAGGGAGGACTGATGACCAAAGGAATTAAGACTGGGCTGATTTAACCCCCAGAAACAGCTGACCTGACAAAGGTTAACTTTTGAATCCCAGGCATCAGCCTGGGAATCCAGCATGGGACTGATCAAGACCCCCTGAATGTGGGTGTCAGTGAGGAGGCCTAGGTAATCTATTGAGCCTTGGGCAGTAGATCAGTATCCATCCCGAGTATACACACGGACTTTGGACTCCCATCCAACAATGTGAGATGCACTCTCACTCTGAACTCTTGGGGGAGGGTCTAGGCCCTACCCTGGATGAAATGACAGACTATGGACACCCCCATGGAGGGCCTCACCCTCCCTGGGGAAATGAGGGGATATTGGGGGGGGATCGGGGAAGGGCACGGGAGGAGGGGAGGGAAAGGGAGAGGGACCTGGAACTGACTTGTGAAGCAACCTTGTTTCTAATCTAAATTTAAATTTAAAAAGAAAAAAATAAAAGAAATAAAAAAAGAAAGTGTTCTGCACTCAAATGCTCAGCTTCACAATTAACAGCAATATGCTCATACAAACTTCTTTAATTTAGGCTCAAAGTCTTCTTCTAAAAATTGTGGGTTTCAGGGCCAGAGAGATGACTCAGCAGGTATACATACTTGTCATATTTGCCCAGAATTTGAGTACCTGACAATCAAGAAACAGTCAGACACTGTGCAATGTGTCTATAATCCCAGCACTTTTACAATAAGTGGGAGGTAGAGATAGGAAAATCCCAAAGAGGTTCCACAGCCTGGTGGCCTGGAGTAAGTGGCCAAGTAGCATAGAAAACTACAAACTTTACCTCAAAAAATATAAAAGGAAAAACCACCCACACTGTTGCTCTGTGACTTGGATAGGAATATCATAACATTCATGTCCCCTGAGACAAAAACAAGTTCATGCTAATAAGGGATGGTAAAACCATGATCAGAGTTTAATGTTTTTACAAAAATTTATTTTTACTAAAAAGTACACACACACACACACACACACACACACACACTCACTCACACTCACACCCTCTCACACACAATTCTTTTAAATTAAGGGTTTCACTTTTTAGTTCACCTGACTGTAAACTGAAATAATGGACAAAAAAGAAATCATTTGCTTTTTAATGCTGAACTAACATTGAACACCAAATGTCCTATTTAGAGCTGCTATCACTGTGATGAAACACCATGCCTAAAATCAACTTGGGAACGAAAAGCTTCATTTGGTTTGTATGTACACATCACAGTCCATCATTGAAGGAAGTCAGGGCAGGAACTCAAATGGAGCAGGATCTGGAGGCAAGAGCTGATATAGAGGCCTCGGGAGGGAGTAGTTTACTGGCTTGTTCATTCTGCTTTCTTACAGAACTGAGGACCACCAGCCCAGGATTGGCACCATCTAGAGTTTATTGGACGGTCCCCCATCAATCACTTATTAAGAAAATTCCTGGCAGTTAGATCATATGGAGGCATTTTTTCCATTGAGTCTTAATTCTTTGTATTCATTGTGGATAACTGCCCCTAAAATTACTAGTTGTTTCAGGAGTTTGGGTGCACAATTCACATCTAACAAACACAGTGTCAAGACATTTCAGACAGGAGAGGGATAAAAAGAATAGTATCTAGTATTAGCATTTAATTGTCATGATGGATAACAATGTATTTGATTGTTCAAAGGCCATTTAAAACAGTGATAGAAGAGACAGCATAATTTTCAAAAACTGTGTTGAACATACTATAATACAGAAAAGCATATAAGAAACAGATTGAAATATTATTATGAATTTCACTGTCAAAAATAAAGTATGTTGACACTTTTAGAAGTAAACACGATTAATGTGAAGTTGTCTTAAGTACTAGAACATCACCACTAAAATCAGATTCTGAATGACAAAGTGTCCTTTTTAACTGGGAAGTTGAGCCCTGGTTCACAGTGTTCTTTTGTTTTGGTTGTGCCGTCATTTTCACGCTCACACTCCCTGTGTGCTAGGCTTTCCCAGCTTGTGCTTCTGAGTTGAAGCCAGTCTTCCTCCAGTCATTTTAGGAGTCCGTACTTAAGCAATTGTCACCCTCAAGAACAGCACTAAGACTGCAAAAAGAAGAAACAGTACCTCTTTGACTGAACCACCGAGTGTGCATTCGCACCATTCTGTATTAAAAACTCTGCCATCTGGTGTTGGTTTTCAAATAAGGCAAGTTTGTATGGTGTCAACCCATACTGCAAAGAAGAAAACTTCATTTAATAAATTGACATGCTTCTCAACAGAAATGTTGTCACAGATTTTATAAACAAAGGGATAGATTTTCCTTCTGTCCTTGCTGCAGTTTCACACCCACAGCTGCCCCCTTCCTTCTGACACAACTTTCCCCTGTTAAGTATTTCCTGTGAGCACCAGTCCCCTCCAGAGCTCTCCAAAATCACTCCCTGGTTCAGAGTTTCTGAGCTCCATGGAAATGGACCTCCATTGTCCCACCCTAAAACATGGAATGCAGAGGTTTGCTGTGCCTCTACTGAATAACAGAGCTCAAGTGACCTCTCTGGAACAGTTTCTCAATCTGTTTTCCAAAACTATTTCTTCCCTAGACTAAGAATTATTATTTCCCAAACTGAACATCACTTCCTATTGTAGTGTTCCAAGAAAATGCTGGAGGATGACCCCAGATTTAAGTAGTATGTCCACACAGAGAACCTTTATTCTGCAGAAATAGTCAGTGTTCAGGGGTCAATCACTCATCTAAAATAGCAATAAGGACCCAGATGAATGCATGCAGGCCATTTTAAAGAGACCTGGGGAATTCTAAGGATCTTCGTTCTAATTGGGAAGTCAGAAAACAGATATATGGGGCACATGTTAGCTGGACAGAGCTAGCAACAGTTTCATCCCTTGTGGGCATGCATTTTCACTTATGGTCAGTGGCAGCCAGATCCTGTCACTCTGGGTCTCCCAGCTTCATAATGCCAGGTTGGGAACTGTTCAGCTGATTGGCTAAACTTGGTGGGCAACTTCCTGGACTCAAGCTTAGGCCATTAATTACAATGGAGTTGCTCCTTGTTTAAGATGGAGTCACATTTTGACCACTTCACTATGTAAATGGGTAATCTGGAACAGTGAAATAAAAAATGTCTTTGTGGTATGTTTTCTTCAATGATCAAATTTGCCAATTTGCCTGTGTGCCTGTGACTTGTCTCATTTTCCATTCTAGCCTCAACTCTTAGAGACAAACCACATCAGTAATTTATTTTCAACAGATTTCTGGTTTTTTAACAGAGATATATCTTTAAATTAATTTATTTTTATTGACTGGGTGTATGTCAAGTGTGTATGGGCCCAAAATCTTAGTTGTTTAATTTTAAAATAAAATCCAATGCTGAAACAAAACATACTATGCTGTGTTCTTTTAAACTACTACAAGTGTATGAAAAGTATTATTTAAAGGAAATTTATACTCTGACAGATTCAGTGAGACTGCTTGAGCTTTGGAATGTGGAAGGTGGATCTGAACATCACCGCTGGAAACACACAGGGAGTGAAGTTGACTGATGTTTACCTCTGTTTTGCCTTCAATATCTGCATTGCATTCCAGCAGTTTGCTGGCAATTGTTGTGTTACCCCTGGAAACAGCATGGTGGAGGGCCGTATTCCCAATGAAATCCATCACATGGGGATCAGCATCCTGTGTTAATAATACAGAAACACACTCCACATTGTCCCGCTGGGTGGCCTATGGGTATTGTATAAAGAAAGAAATCTTCAATTCAAGAACATCAAGATAAACATTTCTACAATTGCATTGAATAGTTACCCTTAGATCAGACAAATTATTTAGGTTATGGATGTTATCCTCTTTCTGAGTCAGGTACTTTTTAAGTACCCCAGCTTGCCTAAATTCAAAACCTCTCCATGAAACTTTCCAAGAGGTAGAATTTCAGGGATATGCTACCACACCTAGATATTAAATCATTTCACCAGCACTGTTTGGTGGTGGTTGTAGGTGGGGTGGTTGTTCACTTGTTGGTTTTGATCACTTGAGTTAGGCTGAAGACACCTGGAAAGATGGATCCCGACTTGAAGACTTGGCTCTATCAGACTGGACTCTAGGCAAGTCTGTGGAGCATTCTCTTAATTGAGGTTTATATGGGAGGTCACAGCTTCCTAGCAGTGCTGGCAAGACTGGGCAGGTAGTGCAGAGTTGTATAGAAACTTGAGCATGCCTTGAAAAAGTCATGGAAAAGCAGCATCCCCACCCCATGAACTCTGCTTCAGTTCCTGCCTCTGGTTCCTGATTTGTGCTCCTGCCATGGATTCCCTCATGATGGACTGTGATATGGAATTGTAGACTAAATAAAGATTTCCTTTCCCGAGTTGGTTTTGGTCAGTATTTGATCATAGCTTCAAAACCAAACAAGGACAAGACCTAATCCATTACATACCAAAACTGTTGTCCAATAGCTACCTTAATCAAGGGCGTGCAGCCTTCATCATCAAGTATGTTAATATTGGCGTTGTAGAGTAATAACAGTCTTACAACATCTGGGTGATTGTGAGCACAGGCATAATGTAGGGAGGTCCTGCAAATTGAGAGGACATTTTAGGAAATTACAGATTGCTGTGTAAGGTACATTTAAGTGTGATACTAGATAGCAAAGCTCCTTTCCTTCTGATGTAAGAGAAGTAACTGGAATTTTCATATTTGCAAATTTCCCTACTCAAGTGTTCATTTACTGTGCTAGGGATATATTGCATGTCTGCACCATTCAAGGCAAGTACTCTGTCACAAGCTTCAAACTTCCTCAGAGCAGCCTGTCTGGAGAAAAGAAGACCACATAGATTGAACTTAGCTTTGGTTTGAAACATACTCTAGACACTTTTACTAGTTACTACTCAGGCTTTCTATGAGCTCCATAGTCAATGGGGATTCAACACTGTAGCTATTTTCCACAGTGCTACTGTTATGCTTAAATTCTCATCTTCAAGAGCATGGGAACAAATGTTCCCAGCACCTAAGAACACACTGTTTTGTGGGTACAATGATCATTAGTCTTCCTATTGATAACAAGCACACTATTTCAATGAACAGAATTCTACCTTTTGAGAAGATGAAAAAAAGTTTATTCAACCTATATTCCCTAAGCTGGCCTTGGATTTGATAATCCTCCCAGTAGGGAGGGTTGCAGGCCAGTTCTTCTGTGTGTACCTTACTCTTTACTTCACATTTTAGCATCACTGTCACATATAATTCATGATATTATATGAATATAATTGGCAATAATTTTAACTTTGCTACTATACAAAATAAAAGTCGGTTGTACCTTACATCCAATGAAATATGACACAATTCACAGGCCCTTGGCAATTCTACAGGTCACTTGCATCTATGTAAATTTAAACTCTTAAGATAATGAAAGGTATACAGTTTTAAAATAACAATAACAACAAACAAATTCTAAGTCCTCACTCAACAATATTTTGAGTGTTTTCATTTCTCAATACCAAGAAGTAATGTTTGTATATTTGCTATCCACTGAGACACAGCCCAGACAGTGTCCATGGTAATACAGACACCAAATCATAGCAAAGCAGGTTATCATGCTTTGGCTTATACTTCATTGTTTCTATGACCTCACACCAAATTGGAACAAATCTCTCTGTAAGGAGATAACCCATGACTTCATAGTTCCCTTGCTTTGATATTTAAAGGACTTTAAGTCAAAATCTTTCTCCTTTTACCAATGTTTAAATTCATAGTATGTAAGAAAGCTGACTAGACACAGAAACAGAAAGGCTTTAAGAATTACAGGATCTGGAGAGCTGGTAGAATGTGTATTGGTGTACAGTAGATACGTTAGTTGAGTGTGGGGAATAAATGGAGTTACATAATGGATTAATACAGTTGCAAAATTCAGTGTTTTTAAGATTGCAGGTATTAAGCAAAAGATTTTGTTTAAAAAATAATTTACTGTTATGTTATATTTTATGAATCTCTAATTTAGAAGGCTAAGTAAGCCCTTAGAACTACAGATAAGACCAAGAAGCTCGTGGGCTATAGAAAATCTACTGTTGATTGTCATTGGTTCCCCTTTATAACATAGTGTGAAATAAGAAATAAGGGATAGGAAGGAGGGGCTGTAGTGATTTGTAAAGCTCAGTTGGTAATGCACTTGGCCTGTAAGCCAGAGACCCTGAGTTCAGAGCCGCTAGCATCTTGAAAGATTGCTGCTGGAGAGATGATACAGGAGAACCCCCAAAGATTTCTGGCTGGCAAGTCTAGGTGAAATCAGAATACTCCAAGACACAAAAAATCGAACCCAGTGGGGATTTGGGTGAGAGAAGATTTCTCTAAACCACAGTGCTGTTCATCAGGTAGAGGGACCTGCCAGAAGATCCAAGGGTCTGAGTTCAACCCCCAGTACCCACAATGTGGCAGAACACAACCTCAAATATAGTTCTCTTCTGACCTTCACACATACACACACCTGCACATGTTTGGGGTATATGTGCACTTCACAGAGAGAGAGAGAGAGAGAGAGAGAGAGAGAGAGAGAGAGAGAGAGAGAGTTTTAATGGGATTTAAAGCAATTGAGGAAAAGAATGTCAACCTCTAGCCTTCACATATGTTGCAATGTACACACAGCATATACACAAGGTGGCAGGGGGCAGTGTCATAGTTCTAGTTGAAAATTTCCTTATTAGATCCTTCAGCTAACAAGGGTCACATTGATGCGAAATTTCTTTGAGATTCTTTTTGTGCCTTAATGTTGACATGTTGTGTGAAAATTTATCTCAAGATACAATCTTTCTGAGTGGTATATAACAGCTGGGTCTAACTCTAACTGTAAGGGTTAACACTAACCCTAAACCTGGGTCTAACCCGGAGTCTAACCATAACCCTAACCCAACCCCAATCCTAAGCCTTACACAGAGGTCTAACCCTAGCCTAGATTTAACCCTGGATCTGAAACTAACACTAAACCTAACCCCAACACTAACCCTAACCCTAACCATATCCCTAACCCTAAAAAACACATACATTAAGGGGTGGAGAGATGGCTTGGCATTTACTAGCACTAGTTTATCTTGCAAAAGACCTGGGTTTGATTCCCTGCACCCACACTGCAGCTCCAGGATGTTCAGGACCCTTTCTGATGAACGTGGTGCATTGAAAACGTATGCACAAAAAACACATCCATAAGTCTCAAGGTTTTAAGTAAACACACAAAAATCAAATGAGTGTAGTTTTACTAGACGAATCACTTTAAAGTGCCCAATAATGTGCTCAGAAAGGGACAATTTAATATTTGTAAACTACCTAAAATTCATCGTTATGCTTTTCTTATAGAAGCCCTAGAAGACGCCACTCCAAGGTGTGCAGGTTCCTGATGCTTAGGGGCCAAAATAATGGGGCTCTGTGAAATAAGACCCTTAAGTGTGACTTCTCCACTCCCTCAGGTTATGACCCTGAAGGGGGTGTTTCTACCTGGTTTGCCCAGGCTGTTCCCAACAGTTCCTGCCCCTTCTCTCCTCCTGCTCCACCTACTCCTCCTGCTCCTTCTTCCCCTCCTGCCCCTTGCATCCCCCGGTCCCCATTACCTGTGCCTCCGGTCACATTCGTCCACATGGCATCCATGGAAGTTGATGAGTCTCTCCACTGAAGCTACATCACCCACGCTGGCCGCCCTTTGCAGCTGTCCCACAGGGTCATACCCGATCAAGTAGAGAGGAAATTCCTGCCTGTTACTGGACAGGCACCCACGACCTAGGCATGCAGGCCACAGGCGGGTATACCAGCGAGCCCGCTTAGGGGCTTTAATAGTATGGGCATCGTAATCGAAGTCCTCTTGCATGTTGAGCCTCAAGGCTCTCCCCCTACATTCCCTGCTCTCCCCGCCTCCCAATTTAGCCACCCACACCCTAAAGAACCCCACACTAAATATTTGAAACACTGTTTCAGTCTCCCCACTGAGCCAAAAATGCTCGGGTCGCTGGTTCAGTGTGAGCTGAACACTGCCTCGTCCTTAGTTACACAGCAACAGTGGCATAGTTACAAGCTGTGAGCACACAATGAGGCTCAGCATCTGTCTACTGTGGCTGGAATCTGTGCATGTGCATGTCCATGTCTGACCCCAGTGACATGGGCCTACCATGTTCAGCACACGGGCAAAGCACTGTCAATTGGAATTTTGGAGTGAGCCTAACTTTATGGACTCCAAACAAAACAGAGGAGAGTTTGGTAATGGTTCAGGTCCTTGCAGCCATGCAGCCCTGAGAAAATGCTTCCCTAAGAATGCTCTGATGGAGTTAGAATATTTTCATCCTCACTGAGCAAACCCAGACACAAAAAGACAAATATTATATGTTTGCTCTTTGAAGTATGCTAGCTTTTAAGCTTCGTATATGGAAACTACAATTGGAATAACCATAGAGGTTTGGTACACAGTAAGAAATCAGGAGGGAAGGGGAAACAGTCTATAGTCTTATGAGGATATGAAGGAGAATTAGAATAGGAGGGATTAATGAGAGGGGGTGATACAGAAAGGTAAAGAAGTACTACAGTGAGGGTCAACCAATACTAAAGGCCCTTTAAAATCTATATGGAACCTGAACATCCTAGAGGCCTCCTATACCTATATGATAAAAACTGAAATGGGGCCAAAAAATAACAGGGGATACAAGGCTCCAACTAGACATCATGTGTTACCAAATTAATTCTCCAGTGCCAGGAACTGGTTACAGCCTGTTGGGCCACTAACCAAAGGGACCCATAGAAACCCCCAAATGACACAGGCTATTATTTATTGCCAAGCCTGTTATTTGCTCTAACAGTTCTGCCATGGAATGCAGAGAAGTTGAATTGGTGTCTTACTAGATTATTCAACTACTAACCAGAGTTCATGGAACTGGAAGGTACTCTAGGTGCTACTGGAGGAGAAAGGGAATCCTCAATATCTCTCAGCACAAACCCTGCAGTCTACAATGGAGCCCACATGAAAGCTCACAACCATCTGTAAATTCATTTCTAGGGGGACCAGCACCCACTTGGACCTTGGCAGACACCAGACACACACACAGTGCATGTACATACATGCAGGCAAGCACATATATACATGAAACATATGTGATCTTTAAATAATGATAGGCTTTTTGAGATGTAACACGCTTGTGTAGTAAGTTCACTCTTTTAAAGTATGCAATCCAGTAAGGTCTGAAAATTATGCAACCATCACCCTATTTGATTTAAAAATATCCTTGTTATTCAAGTAGAAACCCATTATTCATTAGTAGCTACTCTTCATTCCTCCAGAACCCGTGCCCTATCAGTTACCAATCTCACTTTCTGCTTTAAGGTTCTCATTCTGGATATTTAACAGAAATCAAACCTCCCAATATAGAAAAATCCCATTCTTCAGTCCTTTGGCTACTTTCAACTGAACTTAATGATTGTAATTTTCACTCACGTTATAGGATGTGTCAGTTCTCTTCCCCTTTCCATGGCTAGATACTACATCATTTTATTAACACACTGCCCTTTGTTTATCCATTCATCAGTCAATAGGTATTTGGGGTTTCTTCCCTTATCAACTGTTGTAAGAACTGTGAATACTCAAGTCCTAGTGGTTGCAACACTTTATATCTACAGCTCCAGCAGTAACACAGGAGGTTTCTGTTCCTCAGTTCTTTTACATGCCCACATGTGCCCCCGCACTTGTACATACTAGACAAGAATTCTTCCCCTGTCCTATATATATTCTAAGCATATAACATGAACTTTTCAGTTTTTAGACCAGACCTTGCTGTCCAGGCTCAACCTCAGATATGTGATATATAATCCTCTAACAAGTGCTGGAATAACAGAGCTGTACCACCAGGATTGACTTAGCTCTTATAATTTCATCATCTTAATCAAGTATCTTCTCATTGAACTTTGATTTGCATTGCTAGAGGGCTGATGCTGTTGGACACCTTTCAATGTGCTAATGGGACATTTGGAAATATGGAGAGATATCTGTTGAGATTCGTTGCCCAATATGTGTCACAGGCCTGTCATTTTGGTGTTGAGTTTAAGGAAATCTTTATTCATTCTGAGGATTCCTAAGAGTCTATGTTTGTTTATATACAACACATGGGAATCAAAGAGCAGTGAAAATATGGTTTCTTCTGGACCCAAATCAATAAGAAAATCAGGGACTTGATCATCTGGCCTTGTGTATTATACAATTACCAACTTAGGACAAATATTTAGTTATCTTAAAATGTTGTACTTCTTATCAGAATTAGAGAGGGAACCTGGAGCCTTCCATATATGAGGCAAGCTCACACTACCCCAGAGCTACAGGCACAGCCCTCTAAGTTCCTTTATAGTTAGCATTTTACAAAGGTTTATTTTATTTAGGCATGGAGAGGAATATAAGAAACACTTCTCTGTTTATGTTTTATGGAAAGAATGTTAAATGGAATAAAACTTGGTAAAGGGGTGAATGAAATGCCTCAGTAGCCACGATCACATTCCATACAAGCCTGATGGCCTGGATTCCATCCAGCTCCCAGATGCCCTCTGATCTCTACATATCTACCTAGGCATCACACACACACACACACACACACACACACTTACAGAGAGAGAGGGAGGGAGACAGAGAGAGAAAGAGAGAGAGAGAGAGAGAGAGAGAGAGAGAGAGAGAGAGAGAGAGGCCATGGAGAAACTCTGCTTATTGGCCTGTTCCCCATGGCTTTCTCAGCCTGCTCTTATGTGAGTGAGTAGCATCTGCACAGATTGACACTACACACAGTAAGCAAGGCCATCCTACACCAATAATTAATCAAGAAAATGTTCCCACTCACTTACCTACAAGCAGTGTAATGGAGACAATTGCTCCCTCTTTCCAAAGTACTTCTAGGTTTGTGTCAAGGTGGCCAAAATCACAGCAGCAAGCAGGGCTGAGGCACTGCTGTGGAAAAGGGAGTCAGAAAGGATGCAAGAGTCAATGATTGGGGGCATTGTATGACACTTGGTCTTCTGGACATGACAAAGTGACTGTACTCATGAATTCAATATAGCTGAATTTTCCTGAAGTAGACATACACAATATTGGAGCATCACCATTCCTCATGTATTGCGAAGGGCTCATAAGGCCCCACCTCTCCATGAGGAATTATGGGAAGTTGATGGAGAAGAGGTGAGGGAGCAGCATGAAATTTTTACAAAGGAGAAAAGTTCAGATAAGCAATCATTCGACTGCTTTTCCTCTCTACCAAAGTACTACAGACATCCTTGTTATATGGATAATGTTCAAGGAGGTAGCTCTTGGGCAGAAAGATTGACTTTTAATGGAAAAATCCACTAAAAAGCTTCTGATACCAAGAAGAGTTTAAAATTAATGACTTTTACTTAGTGCATTTTAACAGAAAACTCTTAACGTGAATATACATACAGATTCAATAAAAATTTCCATCATCTTTCAACAAATATTTTCTTTAAACTTTGTATATGTTTTTCCTACTTCCTGACAGGGAACAGTGAAGACAGAGTAAGGCAGAAAGACATCAGCAGCGCCTGTCAGCAGGTAGGGGTGAGAAAGCACGTGTGTGCTGGGCGGTGAAGATAGAGGAGTGTGTGGGGCAGTTGGTGAGTGATGAGGTTGAATAAGTGGACAGCAGCCTGATTGACAAGGCTGGGTCAGTGAAGGCTGAGGACACTTTTCCTGAACGAAGAGCACAGCACTGACATGGGCTTAAGTGGTGTTTGATTTTTGTGCACAGAGTGAAAAAACTACTATCTTGACAATGCAACTCTTTGTTGAAATTGTGGGCTTCTAGCTGGATTGTTTCACATCTGGGTTCTTTTTTCTTCACAAACAGTTTTCCTGGTGACGCTGTGCTGGCTTTGTTTACAACTTAAAAGTATATGCAGACCCCATGAGTCAAAATGTGGTGGTCTGTCCATAGGTCTATGTCTTTCTGGAGAGTTTTGATATTACATGCGAATGTAACACTGCTGTCCATTCATCTCTGGGAAACATTATTTGAATGTTACTAAAAATTAAATTAGAGAATATATATAGGCTTGTTACCTGCTCAATTTCTAAAAAGAAATATGGGTTAGTTTTCAAGTACTGTGGTTACAGAGAGACATGTATGCTTTTCATGTGTTCTCTTTGGTCATGTTCCAAGTCTCTGGCATTGTACCTGATGGTGAATACATGAGAAGTTACACTTTTCTTCACATCTAGAGAGTCTGTTCACCAAAACTCAGTGAGTACACAGTGCATCCTGCAGCTGTAAACTTGGCACAGCAAAATTATAGCAGATCCCGCAATTCACCTATTGTCAGTGTGAGCCAAATATCACATCTGTGTTGTTAAGCAGCTGATAATTTATATTCATTGAACTGCAGATATTACTGTAATGAAACACCTGAATTGAGACAAGCATATTGATTTTTGCTCACTATGAGTAAAGAGAAATACAGAGCAGTGCACTGGTGCTGGTCTTATGTGCTACTATCTCACCTCTGCCATAAAGTAGCTGAATGGACCATCTTCTATCATCTTTCATTATTTCCATCCTATGACACTTGCACCAATCTATTCCTGTTTCTAGGAGCTGCACAGTCGGCCATTTGCTAGAGTATTACTCATTTATGATGGAGGTGCTTCTACAGAATTCCTTGTGAAGACAACACTTGATGTATTCTTTTCATTCTAGAAAAAAGCATGATCATTTTCATGTATTTTCTGGAAATTTAACTTTGCAAGTTGATTCTTTGAGAAAATCAACAAGATAGACAAAACTTTGTCCAAACTTACCAAACAGCAGAGAGTGAACATGCAAATTAACAAAATCAGAAATGAAAAGGGGGACATAACAACGGACTCTGAGGAAATCCAGAGAATCATCAGGTCATACTTTGAAAACCTGTACTCCACAAAATTCGAAAATTTAAAAGAAATGGACGACTTCCTGGATAGCTATCACTTGCTAAAACTAAATCAAGAACAGATAAGCAATTTAAATAGACCTGTAACCCCTATGGAAATAGAAGCAGTCATCAAAAGTCTCCCAACCAAAAAAAGTCCAGGTCCAGATGGCCTCAGTGCAGAATTCTACCAGAAATTCAAAGAACAATTTATACTAATTCTTCTCAAAGTATTCCACACAATAGAAGCAAAGGGGTCTTTGCCAAACTCTTTCTATGAGGCTTCAATAACCTTGATCCCCAAGCCACACAAATATACAACTAAGAAAGAGAACTTCAGACCAATATCCCTTATGAACATTGATGCTAAAATACTGGCAAATCAGATCCAAGAACACATCAAAACAATCATTCACCACGATCAAGTAGGTTTCATCCCAGGGACGAAGGGATGGTTCAACATACGAAAATCCATCAACGTAATCCACCATATAAACAAGCTGAAAAACAAAAATCAAATGATCATCTCACTAGATGCTGAAAAAGCCTTTGACAAAATCCAACACCCCTTCATGATAAAGGTCTTGGAGAGATCTGGGATAACAGGGACATACTTAAACATAATAAAAGCTATATACAGTAAACCAACAGCCAACATCAAACTAAATGGACAGAAACTCAACGCAATTCCTCTAAAATCAGGAACAAAACAAGGCTGTCCACTCGCTCCATACCTTTTCAACATGGTACTTGAAGTTCTAGCCATTGCCATATGACAATAAAGGGGGATCAAGGGGATACAAATTGGGAAGGAAGAGGTCAAACTTTCACTGTTTGCAGACGATATGATAGTTTACATCAATGACCCAAAGAACTCTACCAGGGAACTCATACAGCTAATTAACACCTTCAGCAAAGTGGCAGGCTGCAAGATCAACTCAAGAAAATCAGTAGCGGCCGGGGCGGTGGTGGCGCACAGCTTTAATCCCAGCACTCCGGAGGCAGAGGCAGGCGGATCTCTGTGAGTTCGAGGCCAGGCTGGACCGACAGCCTCCAAAACAATACAGAGAAACCCTATCTGGTAAAAACCAAAAAAAAGAGAAAATCAGTAGCCCTACTATATACAGATGATAAAAGGGCTGAAAAAGAATCAGACAAACATCACCCTTTACAATTGCACAAACAACATAAAATACCTTGGGGTAACACTAACCAAACAAGTGAAAGACCTGTATCGCAAGAACTTTGAATCTTTAAAGAAAGAAATTAAAGAAGCCTTCAGAAAATGGAAAGACCTCCCATGCTCTTGGATAGGTAGGATCAATGTAGTAAAAATGGCAATCCTGCCAAAAGCAATCTACAGATTCAATGCAATCCCCATTAAAATCCCAGCACAATTCTTCACAGACCTTGAAAGAACAATAATCAATTTTGTATGGAAAAAGAAAAGACCCAGGATAGCCAAAACAACCCTGTTCAACAAGGCACACCAAAAGTGGGCACCAGATCTCATTTTAGATACCTGTGAGTTACCATGTGGTTGCTGAGAATTGAACTCGGAACCTCTGGAAGAGCAACTATTGCTCTTAACCTCTAAGCCATATCTCTAATCCTTGAGAAAACTATTTAATGTAGCATGTGTCTGCCATAGTCACATTGTAGCAAATTGCATTGTTAGAAATAATGATTTTCCTTGAGTTTAATGACAAATAGCTTGTATTTTGTACTGAATGCTGTTATACAGTTCAGTGCCACTAAAATATAACTATGTCATAAATGAAACTACTGTACACAATCCTTTTTGTTACTTAATTTCTTACCCAATGATGTAAACAAAATCACCTGGCTTTTTCAATTGCTTTATGATTTCTAAATTTAGAGTTTGGCAAATCCTATAACTGCTTTCTTGTGTAATTTCCTGTTTTAAGGGGAGGAAGTGTTTTGCCATAAGGAATGTAATACATTTTAGGAAGACTTCAATCCTTATATGACTTCCTTTTCTTTCTCTTGTCTTCTTTTTTCCTTCTTTTCCTCTTTCATTCTTGTTTATTGCTTTTCTAAAGTTCTCGAGGTTGAACACAGGGCATTGTGAGCATCTAGGCAAACACCCTTCCTATCAACTTTAATATTTTTCTTTTAGTTTTTTGTTAAATAGAACAGGGTGAGATGATACCATTTCCATGCTGTAAAACATGATTTCCAAAAGAGAATGGACACCAGAAGGAAGTTAAAAAAATGACATCATTATGTATTTTAAAGAATTAGCTGCTTCTCCATTGAGTCTGAAGAGACTCTGTGACAATGGAAGGAACACTGCAGAGTTTGTACTTTCAGCAACTGTCCCACAGTATCTTTTATACCTAAGCGCCCATTGAAAACCACACTAAGAGGTGAAGTGAAGATGGTTGATAGTGTTGTGATGCAGGCACCATTTCTTCTATCATTTTATTATGAATTTTGTTGCTCTTGGCATTTGTGGTGATGAGGACTGACCGAGTCTTCCTGCACCATCAGCATAGCAATTCTACTGAGCCACAATTTCAGCCAGTAGTTGGTGGGACAAATGTCCTTCCTGGTCATGGGGAATGCTGAGAAGGCACAATAAGTTTCTCTTATTTTGAACAGGAAAAACATGACTGTTTTATTTTTAACACTTACTGCATGTGCACAGGGAAGGCTTGAGTGAGTGCATAGCTAGTGTATGTAAGCGTGTACAGTGATCCATGTCAGAGGTGACCCATGGAACTTGCTGCTCCTGTCTCACAGGTGCTTCTCTGCTGCTCTATCCCCTGAGTTAGGGCTGGGGTGCATTACTACCAAGGGCGGGACTTTTCCAATAATTCTGCTCATGTGTGATGACAGATGCTTTCATGAGCATCCTTTAAGAGTCACACAAGGCTGGGAAGACATCTGGAGCTAAGGAGCTTCCTCCCTCAAAGGGGACAAAGAGGGTGAACTTGGTGTCCTCCTTTGAACTGTTGGTAAAGGTCTTTGTCCACTTCTGTTTGTTTCTGCTAGGTTTTGTCATGATGCAGGGACAGTAGCCATACATCCCTGTGGTAGGAATTTGCGTCACATACTGAACAAATTCAACTAAAAAGCTGAACAAGTTACTTTGTTTTCCTGGACAACAAAATGTATATAGGCTCATTTTTATTATTTTAATTTTAAATAGCTTGCTTCACATGTCAATCCCAGTTCACTCTCCCTCCCCTCCTTCCTCACCCCCCACCACCACCCCCAGCTTCCCACCCTATTGCCACTTCCTTCCACATAGGGAATATCTAGAGTCTGTCATTTCACTCAGAGCAGAATTCAGGCACTCCCCTAAGAGTCCAGGCTGAGAGAGCATCCCTCTTTGTGTTATGGACACACGAAGTCCGTTTGTATGCAAGGGATAAACACTGATCCACTGCCCAGGGCTCCATAAGTTGCCCAGGCCTCCTCACTGACTCTCATATTCGGGGGTCTGGATCAGTCCCATGCTGTCCTCCCAGCTGTCGGTCTGGGGTCCAAGAGCTCCCCCTTGATCAGATCAGCTGTCTCTGCTGGTTTTGCCAGCCCATTCTTTGCCAATTTGCTTATCGCTCCTCTCTCTGTGTCACTGGGTTCCTTGGGTTCAGTTCAGTGTTTAACTGTGGGTGTTTGCCTCTGCTTCCATCAGTCACAGGATGAAGGCTCCCGGATGGTTATAGACATCAAGTTCATTATTAGGAATGGGCATTCAAGGTGGTCTCTCCACTATTGCTTAGCTTGCCAGTTGGTGTCATCCCTTTAGATCACTACAGGTCTCACTGGTGCCAGATCTGTCTTACAACCTATGATTTCTTCTTCCCCCTATTCTACCTCCCACTCAACCTTCCTGTTCCCCCATGACCTACTTTCTCTTCCTCTTGCTTGTTTGTTTTGTTTTTGAGACACAGTCTCTTCATTACATAGTTCTGCCTGTCTTGAAAATCATAGGGATCCAGTTTAAAATTGTGTGTGCCACCACACCCAATGTAGAATTTTTTTCAAGTACAATTATCCCCAAATCAAACAAGGAGCACATGAAGCTACTTTATGACAGTCAATTGATGACACTCATGCTGGGAAGGATGCTGCTCTCCATGTGTCTGACAGAGTTCATTTAGGATCATCACAATTGTGTATGGGTGTTTTTTAGGTATTATTCTTGATAAATTTATGTCACCTTTTATTTTAAATACATAGAAAATGGACAAATTCTACATGAGGTAATCAACTCCAAATGAATATGTACTCTAGAAGAATCTCTATATTGGTCTCAAAAAATTGATAACTAAATACGAGTCTAATCATTTTTGTATGTTATGTTTTACTAGAATTGTAATAAAACAGATTTTGCTTTTAGTTTTAGAAGTACGTCACTGCACGGACCCGATGCCTTTTTGCAGGTAAGGTAAAAACAATATATTAATACTAGAAAAATCAAAACAGCTAGTTTATTCTTGCCTGTTCTCTCAGATAAACACCCTTTTATCTATTTAATTTTTGCTTTGTCTCATATTTACCACAGCATTATCAACTTATTTTTAAAATTTTAAAAATTTCTTTTTAGTTCCTATGGACATTTATACTCACCAATCATTTCCACAATATCAACTCTGTGTTTTAGAGAATGAGCCTCCTGCTGTCAGTCACACACTGATGTCTCTCTGACAGTCCTCAGCTTTCCAAAACCTTCTGAAACCACCTTATGAGCTATAACTCCAAGGCATTTTTCCTTCTGAGAGCACACAGTGTTGGGGATCTCTGGGGCCCCTGGGTCGAAGTCAGAGAGGGTAGAATGTGCTGTTTGACTGTCCCACAGCCTAACCTAATCCTGAAGAAAATCAAACACAAGAGGGAGTCGAGTCAGGAAGATCTCATTTATTGTTCAACAGGAGAGTCCTCTTTTGACACGACAGTCTTCATCGTGGGCCACTCCCCTTCCTGGTGGGACATGATCTGTGCTCCTCCGTACTACAGAATTAGGGACCATTCTGAGACAGGATTACAGGAAACATCAAATTACCTTCCTCCTTTCACACCATCCCCACATGCAGAGGCCTTTGTGTCAGGTGTAGCATAGTTCTGTGCTCATATCACTTCCATAATAGAGGACAACTGCATTACCTTTTATGGGGCTATGTATCAATTAAACAATTGATACACATTAGTATACAACATGTACCCCAAAATAAAAGATCCAAAAATATCATAGCTGATGTCTAAAGTACAGATTCATAATTTTCAGTCACTAAAACTGTTCTCAGACACACCTTGTAGACAGCAAGTTAATTTTCATTTGGAATTCTAAACGGTTCCAAAGTAAAATCCTGACATTGTCCACTGAGTTTTATTGTTGTTTGCTCCCATTTTTATCTTATTAAGTTCATATAAAGGATTGTTTGGAATAGAAACAGGCAGATTGTGGTATCAAGATTCACTCATGAATAAGCTACAAAGAAGAACTTGAACATACCCAAGTCCACGGTAGCCTGTAGGAGTGCTACCAAAAGCAAGAATCTATTCTCTGGTCCATAAACCAAGCTCTTGGGAGATAACATCACATTCATTGAGAAACCCACAAAGATCATGACAATGAAGGGACTTTGTGCTCTAGGAGTACAGAATAATATGAGCTGTGAAATCAGGGCACTAATTTTATTTTGCTCATGAATATAATTCATCATTTATGGCAACCTTAAAAGTGACTGGGGAGGAACTAGTGTCTTCCTTCATGAGGATATTGTTGTTTTATTTCTTTTTCTAATTCATGTACTTGAAACAAGGTGTCTGATTCTGGAGCTGTCTGACAGCCAAAAGCTCAAATGATCCCCTGTCCTAACATTAACAGTGCTGCGTGACAATTGTATGTGTTCATGTACAGCTTTTTATGTGGGTCCTGGGGATTCAAACTCAGACTGGTGTGTGTGGGCAGCAAGCGCTCTAATTAATTGAGCCCTCTCCCAAGCCACCAACTGTCATTTTTTATTTTTAAATACAACTATGAGTGAGTCTTCACTGAATGTCTTATAGATTGATATAAGTTGAAACGCACAAAAGGAGCAAAAATCTTATAAACACGGGTCAATATTGAATGACATAAATGCAAAGTGTCATTTAATATCTTTTAACAGAGATCCTAGAATAACCAAACCTTCCCATTGATACATTTTTATTCTAAAGGCTCTCTGATGAACCCAATACTCCTGAATCTATAAGAGAGGACAAGGACCGTCCCTCTGTTACAAAGGTAAAATGATCCATTTTGAAAATAATTTTTATGAAATTTTTAATGCAGCAGTAGTACCTACCACAGTTTTATATAGAAACTTGGTCAGAAAAAAAATTTGTAGGTATGGACAGTCCTTTCTATAAACTCCGAGTGATCAGTAAGTCCTTGCAGGTAGTAGTGGCCCAATAAGAGAACGAACTGGAAACAGTGAGTAGAATTTGAGTGCAGTCCTCACATAGTAGATGTTCTGTGTTTGCTCAAGGATGGTTTGCAGAAGCAAACACACAGTAGAGAGATTTTGAAACCTGACTATGGTAATACCCCCGAATACATTTTAATGGGTCCCGTTGTTTCAGTGCTTTGGGAATCACCAGGGAAACTTTCCTTACCTTTCGCATAAATCGGGAAGGCTTTATCTTCCCTTGGACACTCCTGTTTCAGGATCACACAGGACAGCATCTCCCCAGTTTGTCTTTGCTTCTGTATTACACTAGCAGGGAATTCTGGAAATTTGGCCATTTGTAACATATTCACAAAAATTTTCTTTATGAAAAGATTACAGCCTGTTTTCTAATTGATTCCACTAGGATTGCAATGAAAACCCTTCCTTGAGTTACACAGTAAGTATCTTTTCCCCAATTAGCCAGCAGTCTAAAAGTGAAGATTCGAATACCATTTAATAATACATTAACTTCTGGATATTGTTCTGTATTTTAAAATAGCATACACTTATATTCTTTGCGTCACATTCAAACACTTTAAATACTGGAGGTTTAACTAGTCATTTGTATACTCATATGAAAGTGATTTTTATCCCTGAGAGCTGCTGGAGGTTAGGAAATCTGGTTGTTTGTAATCTGGAGTCCTAGGATGAAGGTTTATGTGAATCATTGCTTGCATATTAATGACTTGAATGTGAATCAATGGACAAATATGTTCCTACCACACTAATAATTAAATGAGAGTTTACTTATGAATGGAAAGTAATATGTATTTTGACTCCCAACCATATATGAGAAAAACTGATGAAAGAGTGCCAATTAAACTTAATCTTTTCATAAAAGTTTCACAAAATTCAAAATATAGGGAATTCAGTTTAGTCTCAGCCACAGGGCAAAGCCAGACATCTCAGTTCATGGTTTTCTCATAATCTAGCTTACCTGACTAGTTTTACTTCTAGATGATACCATAGTAATTTGTAAATTGATTCCTTTTTAAGTAATAGTTTCTACTTTTCATGTTTCAATACCCTGTGACTGTTAAGGACTGAGTAATTTTGAACTTGTGCACTTCACCACAAAAGTCTTAATTTCAGAATCAAATAAGGAAAGTTAATTTTCTACAATTCCATTGCAGGAAACACAGAAACAAATTTCACATACTGACAAGATGGACAGAAAAAGGAAGGGGTGAGAGGTTGGACATGTGAAATGAACCTATGAACCTGTGTGGTTTGGGATACAGACCTGAAAAGAAAACGTTTCTCATGGTAATGCCCTCCAATTAGAAAAGTAATATTTGCTTGAGTGGAATGATGTGTCTACGTTCCTTGGTCTGCATTATTGCAAATAGTGTCAGAGAAGAGGAACCAGCATGGAACTTGTCGCCAGAGAAGAGGAACCAGCCTGGAACTTGTCCTTCTCCTCCTTCGTACCCTCACTCCTGGGAACAACAACGCTAGTCACCTTCAAAAGCAGCAGTTTCACCCTTCCTAATGTGACAGATTAATATAATTCCTCATATTATGGTGACCCTAACCATCAAATTATTTTTTGCTACTTCATAACTATAATTTTGCAAATGTTACAAACCATAATGTCATTATCTGTGTTTCTGAAGGTCATAGGTGACTTCTGTGAAAGGGTTCTATGATCCCATAATTGTTCTAGACCCATAGGTCGAGAACCACTATTCTAATGGGTAAGTGAAAGTAAATTAGACTATGGAAACAAAATTCAGAAATTGAGGAAACTTTAGCACAAGTGAAGAGAACTCATAAAAATACAGAGAATAAATAATAAAGACTCCTGAAGTAGGTACTGTCAACATCAATGTTTCAACATACTTGTATGTTTAACTCGGTTTATTTTATGTGTATACATTTGCTTGCATTATCTCTGTGCACCTTGTGTGTATGTGTGTTGCTCACAGACATCCAACATGGCATTTGATCCCCTGGAATATGTGTTCCTGATTATTTTCAGCCAGCAGGTGGATGCTGTGAATCCAACCCAGGTCTCTACAAGAGCATCAAGGGTTAAAAATACCTAAGCCATCTTTCCAGCCCCAGGATTGAATATGTTTGATATGCAAATAATTTGAACATAAGCTAAGATATAAGTGGAAATAAGTAGTCAATCTCATGATGATTGCCTACTTCCTGGTCCATGAAAGCAGGAAAAACAGAATAAGAGGCTGGGCATGTTGGTGCACAACTGTAATCCCAGCAATCATGAAGCAGAGGCAGGCTGGTCTCTGTCAGTTCGAGGACACTCTGGTCTCAACTTACTTGGTGGTTGGGGAAGGCAAGGCACACACGTGCCATGCAAGAAGTGTAGATGTCAACGAATAGTTTACAAGAGTCAGTGCTCTCCACTTGCAATTTCAGGCTCAGGGATCAAATTCCAGTTGTCAGCCACCCTGGACAGTGCTCTTATCCACTTAGCAGTCTCACTAGCTCTCTGACTTACACTCTGACTGAAAATATTTTAGTATTCATACACACATACACACACACACACACACACACACTCTAGCATTGTAGTTGTTGGTTTTTTCTCTTTACTCTTTAGCTTCGTCTTTTGTGTATCCACCATCTGGCTCCCAAATAAACCACACATGGAGACTTATTCTTACTTATAAATGCCCAGTCTTAACATAGCAAAAACAAGCATAGAAATGCATGAACAATAAGAACACACCTATCCTAATGGTAAATACCTTTTAGAATCAAATGAAATTGTGTGTTTATTAAATAAATGGTGTCTATATTTCCCTTAGTACTCCTATTGTGTAACTAACACTTCAGGAAATCTGTGTTTTACCTGGTACAAAGACCTCAGAAAATGTTGGAACCACCACATCTACCATCATTGAGGTTCTATAAATGACTGACTATTTGAAATTCAAGACAGTGTTCCATGCCATCTTCTCATTGAACCCATGCTACAAACTCCTGTGACCCAAATCAGGAGCACATCACAGTATTTTTGGGTCTGGCCACATAGCATCCAGAGACTGTTCCTGACACACATCTCTCTGCTCAAACCTCTTCTTATTAGTGTATCTTTGTCCTTGGTTGAAATCTTTGCCTTTACTCAGTACCTCCCAAAGAAAATGAAAACAGCCAGGTAGGTCTCACAGTGATACAATTTCTAAATTGGAATGCCTTCTAACAAGCACTTCCCAGTTTTAATCTGTTTAGTACTAATTTTAGAGAGTAACTGATGAAAATAGAAATGGAATGCAGAGGGAGAACAGACGTTCAGTGTGGTTGAAAGTGAGATTCCTCATGACAATTGAAGCTCTCACAGTAGTAATCCATGCATGGTTCTACATCAGAGGGAGGTAGCAGCTGATCTGAACAGGGGAGTGCTCTTGGACCCCAGACCGACAGTGGGGAGGCCAGCATGGGACTGATCTGGACCCCCCAAATGTGAGTGTCAGTGAGAAGGCCTGGGCAACCTATGGGGCCCTGAGCTGTGGATCAATGTCTATCCCTGGTATACAAACTGTCTTCATGTGCCTATAGCACAAAGAGAGATGCTCTCTCAGCCTGGACTCTTAGGGGAGTGCCTTGACCCTACCAAGAGTAAAATGACAGACTCTAGATATCCCCTATGTGGAAGGATTTGGCAATTGGGTGGGAGGGAGGGGGGGAAGGGGAGTGCGGGAGGAGGGGAGGGAGAGGGAACTGGGATTGACATGTAAAACAAGCTATTTAAAATTAAAATAAAAAAAAAAGAATTCCTGTCAAAGGAACAGAAATGTGTGTTATATTCTTTCACTTAGAAGAACTAGAGAAGGTTGTATTGCACCACTGGGGTGGCCCTTGTGTCGTCTTGTGGAGCTCAACTATATATGTTTCTCCCTCCCATTCCCTTGGCCTCTTAGAAGGACATGAATGGTCACAGAGCTCCCACTTCCGTCCTGCTCTGATTCTCTGTGATTCCCATACTCACATGCTTTCCTTTCTGAGAGATGTTAATACTTCATCAGTGTGAACAGAAACACTCAGGAACACATCACATTATACTCTCTTTGTCATGGGATTTTGGTGATATCCTCAGAAATCTAATTTGCAGGTACATGGCTGTTCCCATTCATGGAAAAGAACTTGTAGACTCAGAATGCAATGCATTAGGGATGACTGGAGATGGAGGGTGGTCAAAGTACTCCACAAACACTGCATTCAAAAGAGAACAAAGCCCGCACCAGGTCCCTGTCCTTGGCCTTGGCCTTACTCTTGCTACTTAGTGAAATTTGGCTTTACTAAAAGTATGAATAATGTCTGCCATCATGGATATTGTCTTCTAGCTTTTTGTTCATATGTATTTCCTCAAAGGGGCATTACAGCTTCTCATGCACACCTACAAACACGGCATGAGAAGTGGCTTTGTGTATTGATTTGTCTATTCAAATATCCTATGTTTTTTTCAGTACTGAAAATAGACTGTGGTCCTAAACCCAGAATGTTCCTTGCTACTGTATTTGGTAATGAACATTTGTTGTTGTACAGTGTTCATAATATGAACATTATCATTAAGTTGGTAAATGAAAGTATAGTATGGAATACTGTATTTATTTTTTGAATACTATTTTAAATTGTTTCTCAAGTCATATCTCTTAACTATTTTCTCTTCTAAATGGTAATAGCTAATAGCCCGAAGAACAGTAAAAACGTCATAGGTTAAAATAATCATATTCTTTCAGTGAAGAATTTTAAAAATTTAGCCTCAATGAAAAGTAGTTGTGACCTTTATTATTTGGTCACTATTTGTCATGGCAAAGTATACAGTCACAGTGAAAATGTCATCCCTGCTGGGTATGTTACTCCGTTGATAGACTGCTGGCCTATCATATACAAGGCCTGAGGTTCAGTTACCGGTATAGCACAACTTAAGCAATATAGTAATATATCCCCATAATCTTAGTGCCCCAAGAAGTATAAACCTGAGAATCTGAAGTTCAAGGTCATGCTTGGGTACAACCTGAGATTAGGCCACTTGGTCTACATGAAACATTGACTCTTAAAAACAAAACATTGACAAAAAGACTGCATACTGTCGTGCCCCTGCCATGAGCAAGTTTAATATATCAGGCGAAAGCCTGGAGATTGAGCTGAAAACCAAGATGTCTGGTCATTTTGCTTTGTAGAGAGGGAGCAGCCTTATGTATAGGCTTACAGCATAGTGGAAAACCCCAGGTGGAAGAGATAATGTTTTCCTCCTGCTAGATGTTGATGTCAGTGGGGCAAGGCCAGGGCAGGAAGCGAGGTTGGAAAACAGGATGCACTTGGACTGGAAAAAAGATGCACCTGTGGGCTGACCAGCAACTCACAGAGACCCTGAGGGGGCTGGGGCCCAACATCTCCCATATATATATACATATATATACATACATATGCCTGTCTCAGGTGACTAGGATGTTAATGCCAACATTACACATCAATGGAGAAATCACCCAGACTGCATGACCCTCCTAACTTAGGTTGGCTGATGTCCCATTAGTCTCACCTGTCATTGGCTGCCTAAATTTTCTGTAGGCTAAACCATAGTCAAGATGAGGGATTCTCAGTCGTTCTTAAGTAACAAATCAAGCCTTGGCTTGTCTAATGACGAGGTTCCTTAGCCAAATGAAGCATATGATAATAAATCCTATGGCTAAAAGGCCCAGAGATGAGGACCTGGCCCATACTTTGATCAAACGGCCTGCCATATGTGACTCCCCAAGGAACCTAATAATTTGATTGGACAATTAATAAGTATTAAGTTTGGCAGGGGTAACACAAATGTGTGCCAAGGTAGGCAAACAAGAATAAGGATGCATTTAAAATTTCTAACTGGACAAACTCATTTAAGGAGCTCTAAGTGCTGAGAGCCTCTGTTACTTCCGCTGTTGTTTTATCCACTGTGCTGGCTGTAGTTACAGACTGTGAGATGGCAGTCCCAGGTACAATGGCTGCTGTAGCAGCAACAGCAAAGCAACAATCACCCCAGCAGTGATGCCAAAGTCTCCTTTTTGCTCTACTAGGGCAAGTTACATTTCTCCAGAGAAATACACTGGCGTAGCACAATTCCAGGAACATGAACCACAAAGGCTGATATTTCACAACTCCAACAGATTTTTAAGAGACCGTGTCCTGTTCGAATACTGAAAAGGGACTTTTGTCACTCATCACAGTCCATAGCAGCATCCAATTGTTTTAAATGGGTCCTTTTTTTCCCCAAAAGGAAAAACTGGCAAAAGGAATTCTGTGTTTCAAGGTGTGTCCAGGGCAAACTACTAGTCACCCAGTTGTTTGTGGGCTCTGGGATGAAAACTCACAGGTCCAGGAGTTGATGCAGCAGGCCTATTGAGAAACTGGGAATGTCAAACCACTGTTTCCTTTCTTTCTCTGGCTGTAGATTCGATGACATCTAGGGTCAGGAACACTGCAGTGTTCAGGGGATCTCTCTTGAACTGGCTTGGGGAGGCTCCCATGGTCTCAGGACCGGTTTTTCTCAGTTCTATACATCTCACCAAATGTTCTGGCAGCCAAAGAGCTTTATTATTTTCCTGAAAGAAAACACAAACACTCCCTCGACACCAAATTAGGGCAGAATCAGATCTTCTCCACTGTCTAGTGTATGGTTGTCTCCATGTGACCTGAACAAAAGTCGCTCAAGTTCCTTTATGCCAGAATCTGTCTGCAGCAGATTGTTCACTGGCATCTACATTTAAAAAATTAAGATGAGTGCATGATTTAATGCACCGTGTGGAGACTGGGGACATTACATCCCCCACCCCGTTTTTTATCTTTTGACACAAGTATATTGGCCTTTCCCTTTTGTGTAGTGGCCGTCAAGAAACATGAATACCTATCAACTGCCATGTGTACATATTTTAACTTGCCAAATTCTGTAATATGAGTAACAACTATTTGTCATCATTTTTAAATTAGTTACAGATATATATTTTGGGTACAACTCATTGTCTGACAATTTTGATGAGCAGTCTCTCTAGTTAAACCAAATTGTTTTCTTAGACTCCTGCTATTCTGATAATAAAAGTTAGGAGACTGCAGAGCTCTCTCTACCTGAGATAAAGTAACAAATTTTGTTAATCTATCTGTTGACTTGTCCCTTTATCCAGTGGGCTGGGAAGCTTTGAATGAGCCCTCGTGTCACCCAGAAGACATGGTAATTTTCTTAGATGAATTGTATTCTGAATTTGCTCAAACAATATTCTAACCAGATCATTGCCACTTTCTATGCATTGAACGTCTCTATTACTTGAAGACCTTTGAAAACTTACACAAATTAAATGAATCATTTACTAGAAGTTGGAAAACCATTGTGACAGCTTGTAATTCAACTATCTGAGCTGAGGCCAGAGTTATTTGCCCCATGTATTTTTTTCTCATCTATAACATAAGCTGCTCTTCCATTAGCAGAACCATCAAGTAAAACCTAACATAGCATTTTTTATAGGACTGCCCTTTACGATTTGGGGAATACAAAAGGGTGTGTTAGTGTGAACTGTCACAGTCTATGAACTGGAAACTGATTATCAATTCTCCTTGGAAATTGAGCAAGACATTTTCCCATGAATCACTGTTCTGAAACAACCAATCAACTTGTTGCTTGGTATAAGGAACATGTATCATAATTGGTTCTCTGCCAAAATATCTCCTAGATTCCATATGGCATTTTTGTATTATTTGCCTCAAAATAAGGATTTAACACTTTGACTGGGGAGACAGAATAAGCTTCTCATGGTTTTGTAACATCTGTTGATGCTGGACTACACTCTAACAGTAGAAGAACGTGTCTACCCTCCCTAATTAACTGTCTTGGGGAATTGGGACTACTATCTCCTTTTAGAATCTCATTTAGAGGTTTTAAATCACCAGTACATGCCCTTAAAAAGGACATAACCATTGAATATTTCCCAAAAACTTCTGAAAATCACTCATAGATTGCAAACCTTTTTTATTTTTGAGGCTTAAATTTTTAGGCTATAACATATGTCCCAAATAACTTTTGAAAATTACTTGAAGTTTGTGAGTACTCCTTTTTTAATCCAATCGGCATAGCTCTCGCTACCTGACAAGGCCTCATTTGTATCTTAGCTGATATGCTCTAATTTGTATCTACACTGACTCCTCTGTAGGTGGGGTCTAACAGGGAAGCAGTTTTTCGGAGGCTTCTTCTCCAAAACTTCTTTTTTGTCTAGATTTCTTTTTACAACCATAAAAATTTAGGAAAATTCCTCCTCTGGTAAACTCTCTAGAATCATCCATACAGATTTCTTTGTCTCTCAGGCCATGCTGTAGGCTTCTGTTATTTTTCCACTGACAGGTTCTGAGGACTCAAATAGTCAACCTTTCCTGTCAAGACATTGACTGGCTGGATGCTCTTTTTGGCTATATCCAAAGAAATTTAGGTAGCTTCTTAACTATATCTAAAGCAAGTTAAATATCCTTTTAATCATATCCAAGGCAATTTAAGCAGTTCTTTTTGTCAACATTCACACATTCACAATCGCATTTCACGTGTACCAGTGTGGCCCGAAACCTACACACAGAACATACATGCATCTTTTTGTCATCTTTTTTCCCTAGGTCATGATTAGTTTGTTGAAATAAAACTTCCTTAATTGAAATCTCTTGTGACAGAACAGCTCCAGCCAAACCTTGACTTAAAACAAAAGGTTGAAAAAGGGCCTCATGGCCTTCACCATCTTTCCATTTCCAATTGTAACTATTCTGTTGTAGTTAGGCAATTTGAGAGGAGTTGTAAGGGGTAACAATAACATAAGGACCTTCGTCAAAAGTTTGCAAACTTATCTTATATGCTCTATGAATAAGTTGTATAACTGCCTTGGAAGGAGAGGAATGATTATGTCTCCAAAGACTTGGTCCAGTCTACCAAAAGACTCCAGTGGGAGCATGGCTGGAGGAAAAGACCAAAAAGGATTTGTCTAGCCTTAAAGTAACTTTTTGAGGATTAACACCAGTTTTTAATCAATGACAAAAAAAACCCTACCAGAGTGGGCAAACCTCGTTGTGCAGTACCCATGACTGTCATACTTTCGTTGACCTCTCCCAAATCCTGCAGCAGGTGCCATTTTCCTGATTTTTTTCTTTATAAGAAAAATAGGTGTATTCCAAGGGGAGGTGGAAGGATCAATATCTCCATCCTCCAATTGCTCTTGCACCAGCTGATGAGCAGCTTCCAATTTTATTTTAGACAGGGGCCATTGGTCTACCCACATGGGTTGCTTTGGTTTCAATGTGATTGAAATAGGCTGTATGGGTGCAAGTTTAGTCACAACAGCCCCAGCTAAAAATGTCCCAGTCCTGTCCAATCTTCCGACTTACTAGTAACAGAATTTCTTGAGGCACTGGCTGAGTGGTAATAACTGGTTGAGTGGTTAAAAAGTCCTGTGTGTCCTTCATCATCTCTCCATTTGAGAAGTTCTGAGCTGCACTCAGGAGCTGCAGCCATACCCACTCCTTGCAATGTGGCCCGGAGCAATGGTAGCCAATCACTAAGAGTACAGTTTAAGGCTAAACATGTGAAGTTCTTTACTAACTGTTCCTCCTGGGCATTTTAAAATGCTTTTTCAAGGTTAGCCATCTGTCCTTTATTTTAGCACTATCACTCAATTAGGGCAACCTTCACTAATCTCCAAAAGAGAAAGGCGGCAATAGAAAACTTTCTGGTCCCTCTTTCAGAAGAGCCTTTTGGAGCTTGTTTTTAACTTGTTCCCAGCCAGGGATATTAAGCCCTCTCAAGTGTAAAGACCATGGACTTGTCTTTTCCAAAGTTAAAAGAAAATATTTAACTGTCTCTTGCTCAATGCTGGTACCTTGTCTCTTTAACAATTCTACAAACTGTTCTATCAATACAGTCTTAGAAGCTGAGGTACCCATTTTCCAATACACACTCACAAATCCTTACCTGCTGGCCAGCCTCCAAGGACAATCTCTTGGGTTCTCCTTTCTTTCCTGACCTTGGTGTCAGATGAAAGCCTGGAGATTTAACTTGGTACCCCTTTCAATTCACCTTCATTAACCTTTGAGGGTGATCTCTCGGGGTTTTCTTTCTTTCTGGATCTCGGTGGGACCTCCACTTGTGGTGCCTGAGCCATGGCCGAGTCTAATATATCAGGCGAGATCCTGGAGATGTAACTGAAAGAAAGATAAGACATCCAGTCATTTGTGCTAAGAGTTCTCTCCTCTGTAGAGAGGGAACAGTCTTATATACAGACTTACAGCACAGTGGGAAAACCCCAGGTGGAAGGGACCATGTTTTCACAACTAGATGGTGATGTCAGGGCAGCAAGGCCGGGGCAGTAAGTCAGGACTAGAAAACAGGATGTACCTGTTGGCTGACCAGCAACTCAGAGATACCCTGAGGGGGCTGGGGCCCAACACAGGATGTTAAAAAATAAATTCAAAATAAAAAGCTTCCATCATTTCCACTCATAGATCAGTGTCTTACTTTGCTATCACTGGAGAAACTTGTCCTGCAACAGATGGGAATAAAAACAGAGAGCCAGAATTGAAAACTGTAAAGAATATCAGAGACCTTGGAAAACTCAGTCCTAAATGTGATGTCCAAACACTCATGCGCAGGGAGCCCTGTAGAAGAGGAGGCTGAAATATAGTAAGAGTCAGTCAGGATGGAGGACAACAAGGAAACACTGCCTCCCGAATACTTCAGGAAGACTGGACACATGAACTCACAGACACTGGCAACACACAGAGGCCAGCTTAGGACGAAGCCAGATGGGGTCCCAACTAGAGATGGAAAGTGGATTCAAAACCAGCCCTAAACTAACAGCTATGTTCAAGGGATAAATAACCATGCACACAGGAAAAATTCTCCAAAAGAGTATCACTGGGTATATGGTTCACTTTTTTTTCTTTTTCAAGACACAGGGTTCCTAGGCATCCTGGAACTATCTCTGTAGACCAGGCTTCCTATTTGATGTGATGCAACATAATCAAGGTTAACTTGACCAGAGACCAAATTTATAGGCTACTCTTTAAATATTCTAAAAGACTAGACTTTAGCATGGTAAGCAATCACAAGTACTCTAGTATATGTAATTATCACAGAACTCTAGGGCTTGGAGTTACAGAGATTACTTTTGATTGAATGAATAGAAATATTTCTATTGTGAAGGTTTGTGTAGTCATAGTATCTCCATTAAGCCCTAAAACTGTTTTTAATCTAAAAATATATATCTTGATAAAAACAGATGAGCACAAAGCACATGTCATTTTGTCAGTTATGTCATGAGCCTCAGAACTCTGACATCACAGAGTCAGTCACTTTGACTACTACAGACTCCTCAGACTTCAGTAGTTGGTCTGCCAACTGCTGTATCTGTGTTTGGTGTTTAGTGCCAGGAAGAAAAGAGAATTTCAGGCCATTGAAAGACTCTCCCTTCCAGGCCCTGCTGAAAAGGTATTTTCCTACTCTCCACTTTTGATCCTTAGGATGGACTGGTGATATCAGATGTCCTCTCTTAATTCCTCCAGATGCTGTGAACTAATTCTTACACTTCAGCTCTAGTTTTATGAAAAACTATTTAGGAAATCATGTTCAGTGCTGTTCCCTAAATAGGAAAGACATTTTATCTCAGGGGAGGAATGTTCTGAACTACATGGGAAGAAAATGTTCCTCGATCTCCTAAAATGGCTGTTGGAGTTATGGGGAGATTTATGTTTGGCTAAGTCTAGTTTTCTTAACTATTTTGACCACAGAGTATTGCTGGATAGTGGTCACATTCATCCAAAGTTCTACAAACTATCTTGTTTTCAGGAATCATTTGATCTATCCAAAATTATTCGCCATGCTTCAGCAACTATTTTCCAAAATTTGAGCAATACTATGTTAGGAATGACTTTACAAGCATCTTAATTCACTTGAATTTTTATGTAACAAAATTGAAGCTACTTGTTTACACCATTTCCGAAATTATTCTGTGAGGGGGACAGCCATTGTTTTTTATCCCTCTTTTTCCCTTTTGCTTCAGTACTTGCTCTGTATATGTAGTATATTTATGTGAGTTTTTCTTGAGGAATGGAAAATAGAAAATTAGCTAAATATGTAAGTACATTCTCCAAACATATGATGGTGTGTATACAAACGTAAGCATGTAGCATGAATCATAACTGATCTTAATAACAAAATTCTAAAGTCAAATATTGGGTTAAATGCTGAAAGATCAGAGAGACAAAGGAGCAAGCCACAGTCACCTCTTACCTCATCTGAGGATGGTGATTTCCTCACTGAAGATGTAGTTCTTCCCATTCTTTCCATTCCACTTGAGTCAACAATCACAGGTTGACTACATATGATTCTTCAAATCTAACATCCCTATAATGACAGCTGTGTGACTTTAACTGGATAGATCACTATGATTTATAGTATCTTTGTGATGAGAACGGAGCTGATGGGTTTCAGAATCATAATGTCAGTGACATATACATGATATCTTTCACAACTGACATATTCATAGTTTAGAAGAATTAGGGATTTGGGATCCTTGATGAAAATTCTGCATTTCATGGTTTTTGACACCAGTATTTTTATCAATCTACAGATATTGTAGTCTTTGCCTTCATTTTCTCAGTGGCTTGTATTTTGCTACTCCATTGGCCAATTCTAAAGAGTTAAATATCTTTGATTTGCTGTAGTTTTAGACACAATTACTGTACACTACTTGTAATATGGCCGTTTCTCTTCTCTCAATGTGTTTGTTCATTCTTTTCCCTCCAAGCTATATTATTCTGTTCTTATAAATGTCCTCATCCATTCTATATCTTTAAAAACTGCTACTCAGTGGAGTCCTTCTATAAGAAGTGAGACTTCATGATTAATTTCATGTAACTCCTCAACTTTTGTGTTGGGTTATTTTGTTGACTATTGACTATCTGTTTGCTTAGAGTTTGGCCTGTGCCAGGAAAAGTTTCTCCAGTGCAATGGAGACTCTCAGTGAAAAAGTTGCACATGGGGAGGAGAATATTCAATATCTGGTGTTCAATGGACCAGTGGAACTCAGAAGAGGTTGTAGCAGTAGGAAGTGTCATCTCCATTTGTACAGAGACTTCTTGGTTGTGACTAATAGTCGGTAAGTATTCTCATGTTTTACTGATTATCAAAGATTATATTATGTCTATCCATTCCTGTGAAACAAAACAAAAGGGGTTTACCTTTCTGTGCTTAAAAATGGCTTTGCTCCTTATCCATCCAACAATCTCTTGAGGACCTATACTGTGCTGTGCTCCTGTAGAGAAACCAGTCAAGACTCTGCCACAGCATCAGTGATTAGGAGAAAATGTCAGTAATCCCATTACTTTAGAAAGTTATGATCATAGTCAAGTAAATCTGTTATTAAGAGGAAGACACCAGTAGGCATCCTATGAGCAGGGGTTTCCTAAAATGCCATATCCCTTTTATATCTTTCCAATGTAGTTGTACTTATTGGTAACAAGTTTATGTAATTTATACCCTCAATCCTAATATAACCATACAGTACCAACAAAAAGGGTGATTGTCCAAAAAAGAGAAGGCTACACACATGAGATTTACTTTTCTGAGTGGTGTACCCAAACAGAAACTTCACAAGGCAGATGGCAAGGCAGAGAGACCCCACAGTTCTGAGCTATACTTGAGTATTAGATTGCCAGGCTCCAAAAAGTGTCTATGTTACCTTGGGCTATTAACCATTATGACATTTCTTGATCTACAAAGTGGGGCAGATAGAGGTCACATGATATTATTTAGATATTAAATATTTTCAAAGGTACTTCAGAAGAGGCAAGTGTCCAATAAGTACTTAAGAACAGAGTGTGTGTCCTTTGCAATAACACAGTTTACTTAGTATATTTTAAGAAATATTTTATTAAAATAAGTGTTTTTAATGAGGTTTTCCTATGAAAAATTCCCAAGCACTGTTTCAACTACACAGTATAATTTATATGTAGCACTCGACATCCTGAATATACAGGCCATGAATGTTTGTAAGCATGGAGAAGATGCATTCAGAACCTACCCTAGGAAGGCTTTTATCAGCCTATGCTTTGTTAAGGTGCATTTGTCCATTTGCTGAGCTGTGTTTGCAGTAACAGAGATGGGAGAGTCCTACTTTGTCTGGAGAAGGAAGATTTAGGTCTTTCTGTTAACCCCACAGTTCCTTTGCTTCAGAAGCAAACTAATAAATCTTCTTTAATTCTCTTTTAGGTGTAAGATAAACTTTAAGATAAAATACATCATCCCGCTGAGTGCCCTGTGGATGGGGGAGTGTGTGGTCACTGACTTTGTAGGCCCCAGTCGGGCCAGGAAATCCATTCTCCTGGGATGGCCCATGGAGAATTTCGTGGCCACCTTTCGGTAAGACCCATAGCTTGGTCTTCTGCTGGCATGAGCTGACTGTGGAATGACACTGTCGACTTCATATTGTCCAACATAAATGGAAAATGTCAACGGAAATTCTTTTTACTAAAACCTTTAAGGACAGAAATCAGTTTTATCTGGTTACAAACACACTGTCAGGTCTTTCTAACCTGATGCTTTGGCACTCACTTACCTACTATTTACTCCCGAGAATTACCACCATAAAAAAGTCTAAATGGATCAATAGTTGGTAATGCTAGTGTCAATCGTATGATACGTATCCAAGGTTCGTCAGTCATGATCTCAAGCTCCTCTGTATCAGTGATGAGAGGGGTCTAAGGTATTGTGGAAAGAATTCGCGTGAGCAGGTAATTCTCCTCTTTGCCATCTTCTTATTCCAATCATAATCTGATTTTATCTGGGTATTAAAACTACCTAAATATGTGTTTTAATACTATCGAGTAGGCAAGCAGTTTTGAAAATTTCCTTTTATACCCCAAAATGAACATTGATTTGTTATATAAGAAGATAATTACAATATAAAATCTGTCATCCCTAAGTGTCTGTATAGCAGGTCTTCTGTCTTAGTGTCTACAGACAGCTTGGGAGTGCAGGTGTCATTACACCATCAGGGTCAGAGGTGACTTGTCTGACATACGTTGTTACCTAGTTCACACTCTCAGGTTGGCATTAAATATGGAAGATCTCCGTGTATTGAGAAGCTCTCCAGGAGAACCGTTGCAATCAATCGGATTCTGTGACCAAACCTGCTGCTTGGACAATGACACAGCAGCGCTTGCTCTCATTTCCACAAGAGAAGTTCATCCTATGCATTCGATACCCACCCTTTCTCATTCTCTCTTCTGCTCAGACCTCAGCCCTCATCTGAGTTCAGTCACCTAGCACACATGTCTCCATGTTTTGTAACCTTATGAAATGCTGCTTCAGTTGTTTACCTGAAGAAAGTATTTACAGAGCTTTTTAGTGAGATGTTCATAAATGTGATGTAACCTGCATCTTTTTCATATCATAATCATCTACTAGCTATTTAATTTCTGATTCTTTTTTAGTTTTGACAATTCATAAAGCAGTTTACATTAAAAGAGTTTGAAGTGTCTGAGAGAGAGTTTAAGAACTTTTCTTAAATTGTGAACATCATCTTTCTATATGCTACGTTGGGTTCTATAAAATTATAACTGAGTTTTTGGCATTGTAACCATACCTGTCATCCATTGCATTTCATATTGCTATTATTTCACTTGCAACACTTGGTATAGTTAGATGTAGTAGCCATGTACATGTACATGTACATTTTGGGAGTTAAAGGGATGGTCTAACACATCAGATGAACTAGGTCTACTCTATAACACTGGTGGAAATTGGGGAAACAGCTGGTAATTTAAGCAAAAAATTGTGATAGCCTTGGGAAAAAAGAAGCCTGGGGGTTACTTAGAAAATTAAACAAACTTCCTGCATGACTTGACAGCTCCACCTCCATGTAACCCTTTGAAAATGACTTTTCACTGCCACACAAAAGTACGTTAATTAACTCACAGCTCCGGACATTGGTGGGCACACACCTTCAGTCCAAGCACTCAAGAAGCAGAGGCAGGTGGATCTTGTGAGTTCGATGCCAGCCTGGTCTGCAGAGTGAGTTTCAGGACAGCCTCCAAAACAATACAGAGAAACCCTGTCTGGAAAAAAAATTAACTCACATCATGAATCACAACTTCCAAAACGAGGCAAGAAATTAAATATTCAGTCACTGAATGCATAAAGGAAATGTGGAGTGGAGTGTAGGAGAAGAATGGGAGTTGTGAACTAATTTAGAGATAATTTATGACAAGGAAGGTGTTCCTAGCATAATCCTGTTAGCTACCACTATTGGAAGTGAACATAGATGGTCACTTTTTTTTGTTTGTTTTTGTTTTTACGAGACATTGTTTCTCTGTATTGTTTTGGAGGCTATCGGTCCAGCCAGGCCTCGAACTCACAGAGATCCGCCTGCCTCTACCTCCGAGTGCTGAGATTAAAGGTGTGCGCCACCACCGCCTGGCCATAGATTGTTACTCTTAATCAATTATATTCTGTATGGAATTTAACTCACTTGTAAGAAAGTTAGGTACAAGTTTATTCTCAAAATACTTCATTATTATGGGAACTTAGAGAGTAGATCAGTATTTATTCATGGCATACAAATGGACTCTGGGAGCCCATTCTACATGGAGGGATGCTCTCTCAGCCTGGACACAAGGGGGAGGACCTAGGCCCTGCCCGGGATTATATGACAGTCTCTGAAAATCCCTCATGGAAGGCCTTACCCTCCGCTCCCTGGGGAGCTGAAGGGAGATGGAATGGGATGGTGGGTTGGGAGGAAAGGAGGAACCAGGGCAAGAGGGGAGGGAAAGGGAACTTACAGTAATATGTGTAAAAAGTTAAATAAATAATAAATAAATACATTTTATGACCAGTACTAAGATCCGTAATAAAGTAGCCTACAGGTGATCAGGAATACAGCATACAGCATGTAAATTGATCTTGGTGTGAGTATCAGTATGTGAAGAATGAATATACCATAAATTATTTAACATAATGTTTCTGCAATTTGCCTAACGAAGTAAAATAATGTGTCTGGTGTTTTTCTAAAATATATTATTTTTAAGTCAAGTCCTCCATCCATATTTAAAGTTCCTGTAGTATGATGTAACTTAATACAAACAATATGTTTTTGTATTTGAAAAACTACTCCACCAGTGAGACTGCTTTGAGACAGTCACCCCTTTAACTGTGGGAACCTGAAACATAGAGAATCTGCCTTACTGCCTGGGGTTACATAGCTTTAATCACACTGTGGCTTGCCATCACTGCAAGGTCACCAATAAAGGACAAGTTCTAACAGAAGCCCTAACATGAGGAGACTTCTTATGTCTTTGTCCATACTGGTAACTTAGGGACACTAATATTTTGGTCATGATACATAACCTTAAAATCTAACAATTAATACTTCACTTACATTAAGTTCTTACTTTTTATATTACAGTTCCTCAGCCAAAAAGAGAGAGTGGTGGACTGTGCTTCAGAGGTAACTTGTAACTACAGCTTTTACATCTTACTTCGTGATGAAAGAATGAGTTTCACTGGTGTCCAACACCTAGGCTCTTCACTGTTTTCTTTTTATATCATTAAGAATTTCAAGATTTTTAGTGTATGATTGAAAATTTTACCTCCCTACCTCTTCCCAGATCCAGCCTTTTCTCTATTGATCAAACATTGTGTCCTATTTCATAATAATACATTTTGGTCATGTTTTCTCCTCCATTTTCTCCCAGATTCTCCCTAGATACTCAGCTTAATGTCCTTTTTCTCCCCATCTCTCTTTCAAAACTGTATGGTTTGTTTAACCAAAAACCAAGAAACAATCACTTTAGCCAAAATAGATACTCACACCCTACTACATCAACAAAATCAAAACAAACAAATGGCAATTAAGGCAAATTTGACAAAACGAAGTAAAATGAAACAAAATCCACAAAATTACTGTTGAGTGTGTTTTGTATTGGCCAATTATTCCCTGCCATGGGGCCTGCCAGGTTTATATGAAAGAATAGTATAGTTATATCATGTGGTAGGTTTATTTCATTCTTTTTGAGCTACTTGCACACCAATTTCCATAGTAGGCAAATAGATTTGCATTCCCATCAGGAGTGAATGAGTGTCCCCACTTTCCAACATTTGCATCCGCAATTGCCATCATTTGAAGTTATTATATAAGCTCTCTTGATTGAAGTAAAATGGAACTTAAAATATATTTAATTTTATTTTTTTAGTTGGCTAATGATGTTAAAATTTAAAAAGTGCTTTTCTTTGTATGACATCTTTTGAGAGCTCTTTTTGTCTTATACCCCAATTTTTGTTTGGTCATTTCCTTTTGTTTATTTTATCTTATATTTTAGTTCTTTATAGTCTAGACACTGGCCATGTGACAACTGATGAAGACATTTCCCACTCTGTAGGCTGCCTCTTTGCCCAAATCATCCTGACTTTCACTGTGCAGAAACTTCTCGGTTTCATGAGTCTCAATTATGAGTCTCTGGTTTTTATGTCTGCGCTATTGGCACTCTGTTCAGAAAGTGCTTTCCTGTGTCAATGAGTTTGCATGTATTTCCTAATTTTCTCACATATAAGATGCAGGCTGTTGGGGAATTTTGTGTAGGCTGAGAGATAAGGACCAAATTTCATTTGTCTACATATAGCAACTCAGTTCAACTGCACTATTTATTAAAGATGGTGTATCTTCTCCAATGTGTATGTATGGCTGGCTTCTTTGTCAAAAATCACCTCACTGGAGACCTTGGCAATCTTTGGGACCTCATGTACTAGATCAGTATTTATCCCTGGCATCCAAATGGACTTCAGGTATCCATTCCACATGGAGGGATGCTCTCTTAACCTGGACACATCGGGGAGGGCCTAGGCCCTGCCCTGTTCAATATGACAGACTTTGGAGATCCCCCATGACGGGCCTCACCCTCCCTGGAGAGTAGTGTGGGGATTGGATGGGAAGTTGGGGGAGTTGTCAGGGGGCAGAGGAGGAGGGGAGGGAGAAGGAGCTGGTATTGACAAGTGAAGCAAGCTTATTTCTAATTTAAAGAAGAAAATCACCTCACTATAGGACTGTGGGGTCACATGAAGACATCAGTTCTATTCATTTAATGAGTGACTGTTTTTATGACAGTATGATATTGTATGTATAATTGCACTGCAGCATAACTTGGGATCTGTTGTGATGATACCATCAGTATGTTTGTTGTTGGTTTTGATGATGCTTAATATTTGGTTTTGTTCTGGATATCCTCAGTGATTTGTATTCCACATGAAATTCAAGAATGACTTTTAATTTCTGTGAAATTTTTTTCTTGGCATTTTGAAGGCAAATGCATTGCAAACATGATGCATAGCCATTTTTACAATGTAATCCTTCCAATCCATTAATATGGGAGGTCGTTCTTTATGCCAATATTCTCATTTATTTTTTTCAGTGTTTTTAAGTTTACATTCACAAATGTATGAGTTCTTTGGCCAGGTCTATTCAAAGTTTAGTTTAATTTTATGTGATTATTGATAATGCAATTGTGTTCTTCATTTATTTTCTTGTGTTTGTCATTTGTATATAAAAAGGATATTGACTGTTGTGTTTGGTGCCCTGCTACTTTTCTGAATATTTATCAGCTTTAGGAATATTTGTGTGCTCTAGGTTTTTCTGCGTAGAATTGTATCATCTGGAAATAAATATGTCTTGATTTCTTCCTTTCTTGTTTGCATCTCCCTCACTTCCTTCACTGGTTTTATTACCCTAACTAATACTGTAAAAAATATATTGAGGAAAAGTGAGACGACTGAACTTGTCTTGATCCCAATTTTAGCACAAACGTGGGGAGTTTCTTCTCTTTCTAGAATTACTTTGACTGTGGTTTCCGTGTATATTGACTTTATTATGTTGAAATATATTCCATCAATCCCTGTTCGCTCTAAGACATTTATCATGAATAGATGCTGTATATTATCAAAGGTGTTTTATGAATCAAATGGGGTGATCATTTGCTGTCCTTTAGTCCATGTATGTATTGGATTATGTTTTTAACTTACATATGTGACTCTTTCTTCCATCTCTGGGATGATATTGGCTTGAACATAATGCAAAATCTGTCTGTGTTGTTGAATTTGGTTTGCAATTATTTTATTAATAACTTTAGCAAGTATGTTCATCAGAGACATTGGTCTTCATTTTCTTTGTTATTATTTCATTTTGCATCAGGATTAGACCATCTCTAAATATCTTCTTACTAATGTTTTCTGGATGTTTTGGGAGTTTGTCAATTTTCCAATTTGGAGGAACTGCTGGCTACCACTTTCATGCAATCATTCTCCAAATTTTCTGTTGGATAAAGCTGTATTCTGGAACAAAATATTAATTCATTATCAATACAAGTTACTTAACTATGCACACTCAAAGGAAATACTGCTTTTTGGTTTTGAACCCTGAATGTTCTTGAGCCCTCTAATTGTGGAACTAATGTTTTCAGAGCAAAACCTGATACTAAATTGTCACATATTGTCACAGTTTAGAGCAACCCAGTATCTCCTAGAACATGCCCTATTTTGCAAAAATTCCTACTGAGTCTAACTTTAAAATTAAAATTTTGATACTATATCCTTTATTGCCATGAAAATAAGCAACAAGACAAATTCACTTTTTTGTGTGTTTTTTATTGATTTGACCAGATCCATTGATGAACATAAGCAGAAAGACAGTGGAAAGAGTATCACACTTGAGATACTCACAGAGGACATCCCAAGCTGGAACACTGTATGTTCACAAAAGACCAATATTTTCATTGCGCGAAGCTGACTGGGGGAGTGAAAGGGCAAGGGAGGGGAAACAGGAGGAAATTTAAAGATAAGGTTGATAACTGACAACAGGATGGCATCAAAGACAGAGATTGAACATTTATGTAGCACTGCCTGAAAAAATATTTCATGCATACAATTATGTCTTTGCCTATGTAAAAGAGTACTAGTTACTATCAAGCAGGATTGATCCATATTAGCTACAGTAACTACACTATGCTTAATAAATAATGTGCCTGGTGACTTCAATAGAGAGAAGTGTAGTTATAAAATACTTTTGCAGATATTTCTCATTGTAATTATGTGTTTATCTCAACTGCCATCACTTCTAAAGACACCGATTATTTATTTCTTCCATCTTTTAAATAGTTATTTAAAAATTCATGTGAGCATAGTTATAAACATATATAGAAGTTTAAAAAAACTACAATGAATGACAAACACTCCACCTTACTCACCTGTTTGTTAATACTAGTGTGTGTGTGTGTGTGTGTGTGTGTGCGTCTGTGCATGTGTGTGATATGTTAAGTGCACAGTGGCTCTCTTATCTTACATGCTAATGCATCTCTCAAGGGTAAGAAAATTAGTTTTATAGATATAGTTCATCTGTGTTGTGAATTTTTGTGTGTGCCTGTATGTTTGTGTGTGTAGTATGTGAGCAGTTTTGAAAATAAACACAGGCTTTCACATATGCTAGAATGTGGCCCATCTACTGAGGTACACCTCTATTATGAAATTCAATTTCCCATATAAATTCCTTTGCCATCCACTGCTTCAGGACTATTCTATTTCCAGAGAAAAGTCTGCTGGTGGGTGAGGTATTGCACTTATCTGTTATGTAAGAGTCGGTAATCTGGAGGTCTTCGTTTCTATGAGGCCATCAGGAGTTATTGAGTTAGAGGGATAATTACCGTAAAGGGACTCATTACTTCTAGATTTTTGTATGAAAATACATGGAATTGAGGTTGTAAATTTTAACAGCATTATGTAGTAACTAATAAATCCATGGTGAACAATATATGGTAAATACTCTATGCACTTAGTTCTGTACAAACTCTAAACTGGACAAATAGCAATGAAGGAGACAATGGGGGAATTAAAAGAATATCCTGTCCAATAGTGAGGAGAATGTTCTCACCTGAGTTTGTACCAGAAAGCTGGGGAGGCAGGGGTGTGCAGACCTTCCTGAAGGAAAACACTTTCCTTCCTGCTTGATTTCAATTGTGACTAATCTTTTATGCTTGTCATATATGTGTGTGTGCATGCGTGTGTACAGAAAACCACCTTGTTATCTTATAAAGACAATTTTATTTAGATGTGGTTGCACCAGTACCCTATCTTGCCAGGATAGTCATTATTGTGGATTACAGGGTTCACAGTGTGGTTAAACTGAAGATTGATATTGTCTTCCAGTATCAGGTATCCCAAACTCAAGTAGTATTAGATTTAGACAATAAGTATGAATTTCCAAGTCAATGCCAGCATCAATTCCCTTTCACTCTATGTCTGAAATATGCGGTATCTTCAGCCATAGGTATTTGCCTTTCATTTCTGAATAATCACCAAAAACATTGACAATAGCCTAATATTTCAGTGTGTCTGGGACCCCACTGTACAACGACTAAAATTGAAGTCGATTCTTTGGCGTAGGAGTTTATTTTTAGCCTGTTGTGTACAGCATGTTCATTGTCACCAAATTAATATCAGACAGCTACATTCTGAAAGGATTTCCCTTCAGCACTGTTCACTCTTTATAGAGAGGGTCATTACTGCTGTTTTCTTCTCTATGTGCTGTTTTCCAGAGGTTATGCCTGCAAATGCAGATCTGCCTGCTTTCAAAAACCTGTAAGCATAGTTAGCTTTCTTGTCCACTGAGTGTTGTGTGTAATAGCAATGTTCTGGACATATCTTTCTCTTTCTGTGGACAGTTTCTAATTATAAAGTGTAGTAGATATCGCCTACCATAGAACTTTAATGACAAACTTTCGCTCTGTATTCATACATTCATACATTCATCACCTCAATAGATTCCAAGCCAACCAAACTAAGTATGAAGCCAGGCGCACAGAAATCATCACCGCATACTGTTATTGTCTTAAATTCTGTGGTAGTTCATATGAGTTTATGAGAACTGAATACATGATATACAATGAAATAAATCAGTTTTATAAACACATTGTGTGAAAACAAGGAAATGTTTCCCCATCTCTTCAAATGAACCCTCCCATTGTGAAAGCTGACTCAGCTGAGCATCTGAGGCTGTGTCACTTCTGAATATATAATTCCATTGTTAAGTATTTATATATGTGTGTGCACGGATGTATGCATGCATGCTTGTGTATGTGTGTGTGTGTGTGTGGTGTATAATTCAGAAGACAGCCACAATTGGTGCCCTCTTTCTACCATGTATAATCTGGGATTCTATTTTGTGTTATGGGGCTTGAGGGAAAGCACTTTTGTTTTACCATCCCCCATATTCCAGTTCACCAGTGAACATCTTATTATATTTTGACTGATCTGAATCCCTAAAGAGACACATATTAGACTAAAATCCCTATTACTGCCTATAGGTTATATCAAGGAAAGGAAAACCATACTCATGTTTCTGTCATTCTATGTGTATCACTTTGCCATTAACTGAACTCAACTTGGTTACACGATGGATGTAGAAAATGTTTGGATAAATATATATCAAATAGATGTTTCATGAGTATTATTAATCAGTACAATTTTTCTCTGTTTTCTATAGTCATTCACTGTAACAGCAGCACGACTGGACACAGTGAATGATATCATCAAAAAGTTACGACCAATGCTGGGAATACCTGTAAGAGACTTGAAATGCCTTATTTATTCAACATCATTTTATGATCCATTAATATTTAAATAAGTGTAAAATCATTGCTGCCAGATACATGATTACTCTACGTATGAAAAAGTTCATCTTCCTCCAACTTTCAGAAGTAAAGTCAGTCGACATGTTACATTAGTCTAAATATGGTCATTGCTCTTGTATTCTCCAGTGAATTTGGTATCAAAAATCAGCATGTGATGTTCATTTGTACCATTATACCACAAAAAACAGTGTGTGTATTAAAATGAAAATGCATACACACACATTTATATATATATATATATGTTGCACATGAAAATGCATATGTAATGAATTATTTGTAAATGTGTGTATACACCCAGTGAACAATGAACGTGATATAAAGTAGCTATTACAAACCACTAAATATATTTTGGTGCCATTTTCCCATATTTTCTTTGTCATGTAGACATTTTTGATACTGATTTATTCCTTAAGGCACAGTCTCAAATTAATAATTAGAGCATGGCATGTTTGTTATACAATTTCAACCAGAATTTGTCTCTAGACTATATCCTCTGAATACTTGTACCAAGAATCTAAGAGATGAAACCTGAAATAACTGGAAAATAGAGAAACATACTTGGAAAATAATCCTGAATATAGGTCATGCATTCATTCCATTTTAGTGTGTGTGTTTGTATGTGAGTACATATACAAGTGTAAGACTGCACTTATTATATCATGAATAATATCATGAATATTATCATAATATCATGAAAGGTCATTATTTTCAATTTCGAATCAAAAGTAAACAAGTTATTAATAAGCCATAACTCTACTTAATGCATTTGTCTTTGGTATCTCATGTAGACTCTAACATAATTCAATAGATGATACATAATTTATATTTGCTTGCATCAAATGGATCCCAGAGCTGTAAGTTGTAAATCTGTTGTGGATCTTGTTTTCTGCTTCTGGGTCATTATCAAGGTTAGACACTTGTCCTTTCTGTCTGTAGAGTGGGAATTTTCTGAATGAAGGTCAAAAGCTGACTTATTGTTCTAGTGTTCTCCAGGCTTTGACTCCTGTACCTTGGTGGTTGATGTTCCCAGGCTTCTAAGTGTAGCGTTGCTCAGTCATCATAGACAGGTGGGCATGTGGCACTGGAGTAATTAGTTGTCCGGAGAAGAACATGTTATGACACACTCAACATTCTCCAAAGCCTATAGGGACGTAGATGACAGAGACACTTTTGTTGCTTGGAGACAGGGCATGCAGTGGCTTCTTATTCTCAATGTCACAAAAATGTGGCAGAAAGAATGCAAGTTGCATTGACAATTCTGTTCTACCAGAAAAAAGAAGGCAGCTCTACAGATTCTCGGAGGGAGCAAGGACCATGGGACGCACCACTGTTAATTTCCACCATCAGGCTCCTATTACATAGACCAGAATTCTTGCCTTCCTCAATATATTTCAGTTTTAGAGATGAAGAAGAAAGAAAGCATGACCTTCAACTGTGAACTGGGAAAACTACAGTATGACTTTTGGTTCTTCTGCTTTCCAGAATTCTGAGGAAGATTATCAACTGTGGTTCTCTTCTAGCCAGGAAGAAACACCAAGCCCACTCCTGGGTAAGCATCTCAGGGACCTAAGGAGACTTGACTGAGTTAAAACTTTGTAACCCTGGATTGTTAAAGTTTTCATTGATTTTCTTATGATTAAATACTCATAAAAAACATAATACTAAATGTTCTTTCATACATCTAAACGATGTTTACAATTCTTAGTGAGTTTTTCCCTCATCCAAGCATATGATGATATCTGTTTAAATTTATATCCATTTGAGAACCTCATACATGAACAGTATATTTACATCATTTCCATCCCTTCATCTGGACCCTTCATCTCTTCCTGCATCCTCCACACTACCCTTAAATTAAAATTGACTTTGGTTTTGTGTTTGTGCACACGTGTGTGTGTGTGTGTGTGTGTGTGTGTGTGTGTGTGTAGGACTGGGAGAAAAAAGTAAATTTAGCATATGGCTGTGTGTTTCACAGGAACCATCTTTTGCTTGGTTCATCCAAGGGAAAGTCTGATTCTCCCTCTGAGTAGTCATTGACCATCTTTAGCTCTCCGTCTAAGGGCAGGTGCTTGTGAGATTTACCCCATCTACAGTGGCAGTCAATTGGTGCTGCCACTCTTTAAGACTCATTTAGGCAGTTATATTGTTGAGATCCATGTGTGCAGCTTTCCTCTCATACACTGAAGACAGGATCTCCTAGAACAGCCCCTGGTTCTCTGGCTCTCACAAGCTTTCTTCCTACTCTCCCAGAAAGAGACCTGACCTTAGGTATAGAAATTGTATTGTAGACATACCAATTGGAGGTGTGGACCCTACAAACACTTAGTCTTTGACTGACTGGCAATGTATTGATGCATACTGTGAGAGCTCTGCATACAGCAATAGCTGGTCAATCTAAAAGTACAAGTTGTACCCAAGACAAGAACAGCAAAGAGCAGACAGAAACTGGAATTATATTTATTTTAATATGTTTATTAACTTTATAAAATGTCATCTTGACATCAAGACACAGAACATCATTGTGAACCATGTCTGGCTTGAGGTTTCCTCATAACCTGTCAACCATGGTGACTCTGGTTTAGTTAGGATATATATTGCTGTGATAAAACACCTTGACCAAAATCAACTTGGAGAAGAAAGGGTCTTTCATTTTCCTCTTTACTGTCCAGTGCTGAGAAGTCAGTGCAAGAACTCAAACAAGGTGTGGCCCTGGCACAGAAGCTGAGGCAGAGGCCATGGCGGGTTATTGTTCACTTTGTTTGGTCTACATTGCTTTACTCGGTCTTCTTGTTATAGCATGACAACATCAAGGACTATCAGCACAAGGGAGGCACCATCCATATTGGATGGGCCCTCCTACAACAATCTTGTGGGGAGCAGAGGAATCACTGAATGAGGGAAGTCCTGAGTGTGCATCTGGATAAGGCCATGACCATGTTGGGGATTCCAAAGACTTGGACACATGGGATATTCAGCAAAGCTGTATCTTCCTATGGATAGGATCAAGGGAAATGGTACAGATTTTCTTGAGTGTCTGATAGGAGTGTTTATGAAAGATTGGCCAGGGTGTGCAAGACCAGCAACTGCAGCTTCCTCCTGCAATGTGTTTACAGCTTCTTGAAAGTGGTCACCTACAGAGGCCTCCTGGGAGAATAGCTAACCCCCACCCCTGTGATGTACCTAATAAACATCCTGAGAGTCTGAGTTATGCAGGGTTAGAAACTTCCCTAATGTTACTGTATGTGTCTCTGTGTCAGTCTTTACTACATTCCCTCACAGCCCCTATTGAATGTTCCAGGAGCCAAACCATGCAGCTCACAGATAATCGCCATTTAGAAATTGAACCACAGATTTGCCTTTGGCATGACATATTAAGACTGTTTGTCAATTGAAATTCCTTCTTCCCAAATGACTCCAGCTTGTGTAAAGTAGACACAGCACCAATAATCACAGGCTTCTTCTGAAGGAAAACACAGTTCTCTTGTTTTCTTTAACCGTTATCCTGCCACACGTGTGCATGTTACTGCATCTGTCTCTAGAAGTTTCCTGGACTCTGATCATTGCTGCTGAAAAACATTATTGGTGTAGTTGTTGTCTAAAATGCATTGCATCTGTGTTATGAGGAAGGGAAAATCAAGAGATTCCAAGTTTCATCAGGGAGTAACAAGGAAGGAAGAAGGGAGACTTCCTGTAAAAAGTAAAAGCCATCTGTCATATAGGACATTTGAGAATATTTTTACAGGAAGTAATTAAAAGCATGAAATGATAAAGAAAGGATTATACATGGAAATTGTGACAAGACAGTGCATGGTCTTTTGTCTTGACAATGTGGCCTCTTGGGGCTTCTGTGTTTCTTGATTCCTGTTATTTTTCCCTGGTTGTTGTCTGGTGGAAACAATAGAAGGAAAGCATAAGGAAAATCACTCCACTGCACTAGAGAAGGCAGCTTCAGAACTTACCAAGGGAACTGAGCTGTCTCTGTGAATCTGTCAGGAATCATGGTGGAGAAAATATTGATCAGAGCTACTCTATTATTGAAGAGATAGGAACCAACAAGAAATTCATATTATCCTCTTTCAATATAACTCTTGACAACAGGAAACACATGACTAAATGTTTAATCTAGAGCTAGAAGGCTCTAGCAGATCTCCAGTGTTCATGTGTAGCAAGGCAAAGTGTTGGATTTTTATCCACTAAACCCTAAAAGGCCATGTTTGGACACCTGCTTCTCTAGAGTCCCTTCCCTGACGACTCCAGGGGCCAGAGGAGACCTGCAGCTCTTTTCCCTGTGTGCTTATGTCCTCCAAAAGGTCTGTTGATCCATCATCACTGTTAGCATTAATCTATATTTAGCATTTTCTCTACACAGGGCATGAGAACCCATATGCCATCAGAATGAGTGATCTTCGAAATTCTACCTATGTGGCAGTGGGGCCAAGAGATTACACTGATTATCTTGATATCAACAAGGCCATCCAGGAGCTGCAGTCCCCACATAAGCCAGGACTGTTCATCCTGAAGCCCAAGGACCCACCCAAAGACCAGAGCCGTGAGTCTCTTGCCTTCCTTCAAGGTTTTAACTTTACAGGATCTTTAGTTCTTCTGTTCCCATTTTCCACCAACAATGTGAATGTCAGGGAAAACAAAAGACCCCAGCAAGAGAAATCTCTTTCCCCAACAAATGTAAAGCCATCTGATCACATTTTTTAAAAAGGGAGTTAGAATAGCCTGCTTCCTAATGATACAATGTTGCATTTCTCCAGACAGATTTGGAAGGTGAAACTGGATTCCTACTAATTTGTGTGTTCCTTTTGATATATAGTGTCTCTGAATTTCTTTATTTCTTTTGTTTTGTTTGTTTGGTTTGATTTCCTGACCAGGTTTTCTCTTTCTAATGGAGATCCACCTGCCTCTGTCTCCTGAGTCCTAAGCCTAAAAATGTGTCAACAGTGTCCTAATATCTCCTGAATTGGGGTTTGGAGGTCATCTTCAATCTTTTTGAGGTCCCTGTCCTCAGCCTGCCCCAATGTGTAAAACTGATTGGTAAGTAACTGAGAAGGCAGTACCATAGCCCCTGCTGGAGAGGCCAGGTCAAGGCAGGTATACTGAGTCATGGCCTCATGAATTCAGTTAAGAAAAAGTGCTGTGTTCTCATCAATTTGCTGAGTAATCTCATGGAGTCTGTCAAAGTTAACTACATTATTAGAAAATGTCCCCATGCCTTCCAGGAAGCAGTGAATCATAATGTCCCTTCTGGTAGTCCCAGGCAGGGTTCTGGGAAGGGACAGCATCTAATCACCAGGGTCCTAGTATCTGCCAATTGAGTTAAGTCTGCATGCTGTGTGGCCACTGCCTGACTCTCTCAAGCTCCCATTTGTAAGAGTGGAGGACACAACGATGCAAATTTCGTGCCAGGATAATCCACTGATTTGAGTGAATTGGCGGAGCTCTCGTATGTGGGCAAAAGGGATGAAAGGAGAAATAGCCCAACCATTGTTTCCTGTTAGCAAGACACTGGAGGGAGTAATGAACGTGATCCTGGAGGACACTTTCGACTCTAGCACCCTGCCAGAGGGGGCAGAGGCAAGCAGAGTTCTTTTTGGGACCATATGTGGGAAGTCACTGGAGGGGCAAATCACTGTGTCACCTGCAACTAGGGAGAGGAAGTCCAGTGTAGAAGCAGGAAGAGGTGATAAAGGGATGGGGGCTGCAGGTTTGGGTGTTGAGGACAGAGTAGGAGGAAGTTGGAGGTGTAGAGGACAGGGCTGGCAGGGGTCCCTGAGGAGCAGGAACTTCAGGGGACTCAGGGCTGAAGGCTCAGGGACAGTATCTCCATGGGGAAGCACATCTGAGGGCTCTTTGAATCTGAGCAGCAGAACCTGAGCCATGGAGCACCGACTACAGAGGAAGGGAGGAGCAAGAACCCCATAATTCCTGTATGTAAGGGAGCTCAGCCCTCATTGTGCCTGGGACATATTTGCAAGAATTTTCTAAACTACAAAGGAGGTTGAAGTCAAGGGTGCCCTCTGTTGACCACTTTGAATTCATGGTCCATTGTATATTGTGGCACAATCACAAAACAAAAAGGAAACGATCTAGACAAATTTCACAGCAGACACCCGGGTGTGGTTGTGAATCGGACTTGCCCATCACCAACGCTACAGCTTAAACCAGAGGTTAAGTCAGCCCATCCTCTGCAGTAGCTGAGTTCAGATTGCTGGGTTAGGGATGACAAATTTAAAAATCCGACTTCCAGAAACCTGCCGCAGGTGATGCAATAAGGCAATCAGACGGAGTTAATAAACCCAGGTTTAATCTGAGCAATGCGTTCCTGGGTGGCCCCAGGGGAGCAGAAAACCAGGAAGCATGAGGTGAATCCAGACATGGAGGCTTTTAATGTCCTCTGGGGGTGGAGCCACAAATGGCAGGTTTTGAGGGGCAGAGTCTGGACTAAGGAGACTCCAGGGGAGGGGCCCCTGCTTGGCAGCCTGAGGACAGAGTTTGGGACTTGGATTCCCTACTGTGTGCTTTTTCAGGCAGGGATGTGACTCTGGTCAGAAAGAAAACCAAATAGGCACCGGTGTCTGTATAGCCACATCTAGACAGAAAGGAAAGCTTACAGGTCGATCAGATCAGTCTGAAGGGCGGGATAGAAGAGAGGACAGGAGGGTCTCCCAGCTCCATGTCTCTTTGGCACCAAATGAAGGGCTTCTCTGCCCTGCCACTGCAATCAACCCAGTTGAGCCGAACTGAAAAGTAAAAGGCAGGTTTATTTTACAGATTTGTCCCTCCTGGGGAGTTCAAGGCCTCCTGGTAGTAGATCCATAAAGTTGAGGGCTTTTGTAGGAGTGGTGTGAGGCCATGAAGTGCTTGTTAAGTTATTGGGGTATTGGCTTGGTCTGGGGTGCCATACCTGTGTCTTGGTTCCACTGGTCACTTTGGAATCCAGAATTAAGTGCCTCCTTTTTATCCATTGCTTTGTGTGGTCTTTTGTGAGTGCTCTGGTTTTTGTGAGCACAACGTTCTTGCTGGCAGGGTTCTCTGTAGAGAGAAGCCTTTTCCTTGCCAGCACCTTTGGTTTTTCCCCAGCCAGTCACCTGGGTTCTGCCACGTTGTAGTACCCAAATAACCAACAAGAAGCTGTATTAATTATGAAGCTGTTGGCCTTGCTTGTTTCTTACTGGCTAGCTCTGACTTAAGTATTTAATGCATCTAAGTATTTCTCTTACCGGACAGACATCTTACTTCTCTGGCAGGCTACATGATGACCCCCTGTGTTTCTCCTACCCAGAGAACTCCTGAACTCCTAGTCCCACCTATCTTGCTTCCCTATTGGCCAACAGTGCTTTATTGACATATACACAAGACTTCCCCATCAGATCTCTTTCTCCTTTTGCAGACTGCAAGCTCCAGCCAGCTTCAGGCTGGAAGGGGGAGGCAGAGGATTCTTCTTGTGCCTATTGACATGTAGAACCATTCTCTGGGATGTAATGACGTCTGTGCTTTCTCCCTTCTATCCTTTTTAAGATGATGGGATATTAACTGCAGAAATGGGGCTTGAATGTGTTTTGCACATGCAGTCACAACTATTGAGAGATCATATTTGCAACAGCTGTGCTGTGTGTAGAAAACATTGTTTCATTGCGGTCAGCTACTTCCTTTGTCTCTTACAGACTATCTGCTCTCCTATGTGCTCCAGGAGGGAGGACTATGTTACTAACATGCCACGTAGGACTATGCACTCCACAGACTTTTATTCTCCTCACATTGATTACATTGTAGATTGTATGTTAAATAATTCTCTACTGCCAAAGGAGAAACTGATGAGAACTGGGAATTGCACTAATCTCTTGTACAAATCATTTTAGGCATTGGCTTAATAAGATGTATACATACTAGGAAAAATGTGATAGTTTTTTTTTGCCAAAAGCCTCAAACTACCTAGTTATAGGTTATTGTCCCTGAAAATGGTGCCAGATATGTGTTCTATCTTGGGGCCTGAACCTTGATACTCTCAGAATATGGTTGGTAACCCATGGCATTTGGGCCTCTATTGCCTGCCTGGGGAAATCTTGTAGGACATTTATTATTGGAGCTCACAGGGTTACACTGATGTGAGACTGATAATTGCTCATAACCTCCTGTAGTGTACTTAGCAAAGGTGGAAGGAAACTTTCAGTCCATCACCAGGTTGACTTCTCCATTTCTGTGAGTCAAGCCTAAGTTATCTCCAATAATAGTGGTGTCAACTTCTGGAGCATAACCAATATCAATATCAATAGTCTGAGAGTATACGGAATTCACTGGCCAACAGTTCACAGAGAATATCCCATTTCTAGGACTATACTTGTATTTGTTAGTCTATGCAGTTGTGTCAGTATCTCCTGTTAATAGACAAATTTCACTTCTACTCTTTTTACATGTGTATATGTATATGTATATATTTAGGCAGCTTCTACAAGAGTTGGCTTCCAGATGGTTTTTTCAAAACAACAATTAATGTTAGTTATCCTCCCAGTATTCATGCCTTCTCATTCCCTCATCATTTAATATCTTTTCCCATGATTCCTCTTTCCTCCTTTATCACACTGTATTCTATTTCCTCTGCCTTGAAATTTCTCCCTATCACCCATTACTAATTTTCTGACTTCTAAGTCCATTCCAAGGGAAACACACTTATTTGGAGCTTTGAGTAACTGACTTAGTATTGGTTCCCAGAGTCAGGACTCTGCTGCCTAGTACCTTGAACAGTGAGCTGAGTTCATGTAAAGGGTAAATACAGAAAAGACAAGTGACCAGCAGTAGGATATTCTGTAAAATTTCACACATCTTCTATGCCATATCTCTTCTGTTCGCTTTAAAATTATTTGATATATGAAGCTTATTTAAGTAAGCATTATAGACCCATGTTGGGACATCAACAAAGTACTACAAATAATGACCTTCGTTCCTTTTAGATTCAGAGAAAACAGTTAGAAGAAGATGTTCTTTGATCAACTGGATTTTTCGGCGAGGCCCTGACTATGTTCGTCTGGACACACCAGGACCAAACACTGGATGTTTTGGAAGGACCCTCATGGACACTGGTGAAGATGGTGAACTGTCTGCTACAGTTCTGGTAAGCATCGTTTTGGGTTTTTTCTTCTGTGGCCAGATTGTTTTCAGAGAATACAACACCTTCAAATCCTGTCTCTAAGTGGAAGAACCAGTAGACACCCCATGACTAGGGAAGAGAATTCTGGGAAGATTTCTCTTTTAGTGAAAATAATACCCCATTTAGGTTTTATTGATAGATACAAGGCAAGCCTGAGAGGAAAACACATTCTTGTCTTTTCCACTGGTTGAAGCAAAGACACTGCCTTCTGGATGAAGACAGGGGCACAATGGACTTGACCTGTGAACTCTGCCTCACATCACCTGTCAGGTTCTCCCTTCAACTCCACACGAGTCTGAGCTCTCCTTCCTGACCAACTATTGCATTTAGAGTGTTTATTCTTTTAATATGAAATATTTGTCATGTTTTCAATTCCGTTTTCAGTAATTCAACATGAAAAATTTTCATGTGGTATTAATCCTTTTATCCTAGCAAAATGTATGAAAAACATGTCCCATATTTTGGTTTGATTTATTTCAAATAAGTTGCTATATATCACTGAAAATATTTATTGAGCATCTAGTATTTCTCCAACCACTGTACTCCATGTAGGGAAGATTATGCTACATGGGAACACATTTATCATATTAAGTAGAAGATTGTACTTCAGTAACTCTTAAATGTTTTATAAAATCTAGCAATAACCACAACTGCCATAATCCTACCTCTGAAAATTAAGAACAACTTTGTAAGGTTTTGTGCAGCACCCAAGATTTCTGAGTAAATCAGTGGCAGAATAAATTGCAGTCGCTGTGGGTTTGTGACTCTGACAGCATCTTTCTACATTGAGAGCCATAAATACTAAGACAGAAGAGAAGGACATGAAAGACTGGCATGAAGTACATGTCTTCACTAAAACATCCATAAACCCAGGTAGCTGCTAATCCAATGGAATCATGAGAACATACCATATTATGACTAAACTTTTTTAATCAAAACTGAAAATGGAGTCTAACCATGTGCATAATCCATACGTCCAGTGAGGTGGTCACTACACTTATGTGCTATCTTTTAACCGCCTGGTGGTCCATGGGACTACACAAGACACAGTTCTTTGAAATGAATGAAAGAACTAGGATATTAGAGAGATAAATTACTTGATCAAAATATCAAACATTATAAAGAACAAAGCCCTGAGCCACTATTTGCTGTGTTGTTACTTTGAAAATATTCAGTGACCCTACTTGCTTCTCACAAATACAAATCAAATGTCAAAAAAACCTTGCTACATGATTTAAATAAGACACATTACACAATAAATTTCTAAAATCATACACTGAATGTAGTAAATTTCTTTGAAGTCAGCAGGTAGCATCATGTATACTCAGGGGTCTACAGCAAGCTACTAGTTAATAATTCACTATCTAGAATGGAGATAAGATTCACATCTTGAAGTCATACATATGTAGTTCTTTCATCTTCATATTCCTGACATTTCTTTGCTCGATGGTGTTTGTCTGGTTGTTTTAGAAATTATTAGAATCTATTTCAATAAAAACTGAGGTAAGTCTAGTGTCTGAGAGGGTATTTGTACTAAAATAACATATTTTTCGTTCAACAGTGACTATGAAACAACCTCTTGATGCAAGACCATTGAACGCCACACTGTCCTGCACAAGGGACAACTGCAGCAGGCTGTCTGAGGCCCCATCTGGACCAACTCGTTTAGCTAGCTGTCCATAATTTTTTCCCTCATTAGAGACTAGAATCCCTGTAACCACATATAACCTCTTTCTTCATTTATTGTCACAGTATTCTTCTGACAACTGTTTTTCAAAATAGTGACAGGATTTGTTACGACTTTGTTTGCATCCTGTCCGTACGGAAATAGCAGAATTCTTCAACAAAGGAATCAAAACACCGAGCATAAACTAAAAGAAGCATCTGAGTTGACACCTCCTTCAATCTATTCACAGCTGAGAAAAATCTGTCTCCCAAATATCTCCTCTGTTTTACTATTTTATATTATTTGAGTTCTATTTAGTATACTATATGAATTAGATTCATTTGCTTATGTTGTATTACATGTATTCTTTATTGTAATAATAAATGTTCCATAATTTGATTTTGAAAAGGTCGTGTTTTGTTCATGACTCACATGCTTCTTTGTTGGATGCTCAGCAGGGAATTTTAACCAGTCTTAGCTGTAGAAGTCATCAATGTGCAGTCATCTACCACCAACATTAGGATTCAGTAACATGTCTGCCACCCGAAGCGTCTAGGTATTTGTTCTCTGTGTATGGTAATTTACTCTTGCTTTCTTCACATGGTAGAAGAGTTTTCAGTAACAAGAGCAGTCGATGTTTACTAATGGCTCATTTGTCGAAGATTGCTATGCCAGGTTCCAATCTAAAGTTAATTTAGGAGTTACCTTGAAAAACCTCAATACACCCCTACTTTTTTGAGAAGGTCTCCTCAGTGGAAAATCCCCCAAGGTCCCTTCCCCTGGACAAGGAACAAGGTCTAATTAAAAAGAACATCTGGTTCAGAGAGCTAATGAAGGAAACCGGCAGGCTGTAGAGATAAGTGTAAATCTGACCTTGTGGTTTCTCGAGGGAGGATGAGTTATGCCCGCACTTCTGACAATCCCCTATTGCTTGCCCAGATCTGCACCTGCAGTAGCTCCACTCCTTACAATACCCCTATTACTTTGCTTGCCAAAATTATGTATATAAAAAGAAAGCTGTCCTAGGGCCTGGGCACGTTCAGTTAGCAGAGCTGCTGAATCGCCCACAGACGCCTGTGTAAAAAAAATAAAAAATAAAAACATCTTGCAGTTGCATCCAACTGTCTGGTTATTGAGCTCGGGATATCACCGGGGTATTCAGCCTGAAGCCCGCTTACTTCAGGTCTTTCAACCTATGAGATGCAATACATTAAGAACTACAAAAGGAGCAGCTGCCCCCTTCTACTCCATCACGTTGAGCCACGTCCGGCCCTGGCCTTGGGCTTCCTCTGCTGCCCCTGGCCTCCAGCCTCCTGCCTCCGACCATGGGTCCAACGCAAAGTGAGCGAGCTACGGGCCTTCCTGAAGATGTGTACGCAGGATCTGAGCGTCCTGCACACCTAGGAAGTGCGTTTTTTGAGAGTGGGTGGAGGGCATAGTGGGTAAAGTACAACCTGCTTCTCATAAAGTTAATTCAGAAGACAAAGTCAAGGAAGAAAAAAGAGAGGATAAGACACAGGAAAACATAAAGACAGATGAACCATCAAGTGAGGAGAGTGGTGTAGAAATTGACAATGATGGTGTTATTGAGCCAGACGCTGGTGCCCCTCAAGAAATGGGAGACGAAATGCAGAGATAACTGAGGAGATGATGGATCAGACAAATGAAAAGAATGGGCCTGCCATTGACGCCCTAAATGATGGTGAGCTGCAGAAAGCCATTGACTTGTTCACTGACGCCGTCAAGCTAAATCCTCGATTGGCTATTCTGTATGCCAAGAGAGCCAGTGTTTTCGTCAGATTACAGAAGCCAAATGCTGACATTCGAGACTGTGACAGAGCCATTGAAGTAAACCCAGACTCAGCTCAGCCATACAAGGGGCGAGGGAAAACACACAGACTCCTGGGTCACTGGGAAGAAGCAGCTCGTGATCTTGCCCTTGCCGGTAAACCGGATTATGACGAGGATGCCAGTGCAATGCAGAAAGAAGTTCAGCCTCGGGCACAAAAAATTGCTGATCATCGGAGAAAGTATGAGCGTAAACGTGAAGAGCGAGAGATAAAAGAAATAGAAAGGGTGAGGAAGGCTCGAGAGGAGCAAGAGAGAGCCCAAAGGGAAGAAGAAGCCAGAAGCCAGTTTGGAATTCAGTATGGCTCTTTTCCAGGTGGTTTTCCTGGGGGAATGCCTGGCATGGGAGGAGGCATACCTTGAATGGCAGGAATGCCTGGACTCAATGAAATCCTCAGTGACCGAGAGGTTCTTGCAGCCATGTAGGATCCAAAAGTCATGGTGGCTTTCCAGGATGTGGCCCAGAACCCAGCAAATATGTCAAAATATCAGAGCAACCCAAAGGTTATGAATCTCATCAGTAAATTGTCAGCCAAGTTTGGTGGTCAAGCATAATATCATAACAATGCTGAATGAAGAGCAGCTTAGCTCACTTACTGGAAGTTGCAATAATACTAACCAGTGTACCTCTGATCTCATCTGGAGAGCTGGGGTGCTTCGAAGAGAATCCCTTTCTGCATCAAATGCGGCTGAAGCATTTTACCCTGGCTTGCTATTAGGGTCTTCATTCAGATAATATTTTCCTATTAGGAATTACAAACTTAAAACACTTTTCAACCTTAAACATATTTTTTTAAATATAGGGGGTGTTAATTCCTACATTTTCCTTACTAATCTTTTTGGAGTTTTCCTTTGATTTACTGGGCAAGGAAGGTGAATATGGTCGACTTACTGTTTTCATGAATGGAAATAAAGATTTGTTAGTGGGAAGCAAATAAAACCCATTTAAGTTGATTGAGTTGGATATATAGTTACTGAAGCATCTTGGTTTGTCTTTTCTTAGCATTTTATTTCAAAATTATCTATTTCAGTGATTTTATTGGGACCACCAGTATTAGGATCTGACCCATGGGACTGAAGTGTTGGACAGAGCAGCAGCAAGTCCAAGGTTTTGTTTGACCTTGTGCAAGCTGCATTTAAATCTTACACTGTGCTACAGGGGCGATTTTTATTATTTTTTAAAGCATTACAGTGCTTAGTTCTGCAATTGTTTACTGTTTGAAGTAAATGTTCCATGTCATTCCTGTATAGAGGAAAAATGCTTTCTATGTTTATGAAATATTACCTTTCCTATTAGAAATATCTGTCTGCCTGTCCTCCTCTTAATCTTCTTGAACTAAAGATAGTGACTTTTCCCTAACATCCTCATTTCTATCATTCACAACATAATTGTGGAAGCATATTTATTGCCAGTTTAATTTCATATGGAGCACATAGAGTAATTGTAGGGCCATACCTGTAATAGCTGTGGTGTCTTACTTGGCTATGGGGTTGCTTGATTAAATATTAAACTTTTACACTTGTGAACTCCTATTATATCAGAAGTCATCGGAAAAAAGAATTCCCTTTGGTTTTAGGTACGCTTATGGAATTGAGAAACAATTTAGATTTTAGAGTTCATGTTGAAGTATACATATTTTTATTTTGAAGAATTTGTTTACATATGATGAAAGATTCATTTGTCCTATTTAGCTCTTAAACACTTCGATGTAGTTAATGCTGGTTTTCTCTCATTCCTTCTGCTGCAAGAATAAAGAAAACGATAAATCCCGAGTGCATATTTAAATCAGCATATATCTGAAATCATATGCTCATGTGGATGTAGCTGCTTCATACAGCAGACACTGATGCATCTTGTTACATGTTAGAAAGAGCTGTATTGGAGCAGAGCACGCGTGTAAGTCTTTGACAAACATCACATATTCTTAAATTTGAACTTCGCACAGTGTTCTTTTTATCCAAGTGTGTTCTCCTTTGGTAGTTTCCATGGTGTGCTTCTCTTGGACTCTAGCTATATATGCCCTAATTATATTCTAATATCGCAAATATTACCATAAATGGGTGAAATTGCTCTTCTGAAAAATGTCCTTTGCTTTTAGACTTCTGAGTTCCACAGGGAAAAAACAAATACAGTCTTCTTTTTTTTTCATAAAGACTCAGTATCATTTCTACACCAGAAATTATGGTTTTTTTGTCTTCACTAAAGAAACTATAAGGAAAATACTATAATAAGGTAAAAGGGTTTTCTGCTTAAAGATATGTGGTTAATATCCTAAAATGATAAAATAAAATATGGTTTCAAACTGAAAAAAACTACAAGAGATAAGGGGAGAAGACCTTTATGCAGGGTTGGTTGTTATACACACCTTCAATCCCAGAATTTAGCAGGCAGAGGCATGAGGAGCATTGTCCCGCGCTACCGTCTCGCCAGCAAGAACGACGCAGAACACTCGGATCCTTCTGCAGTAAAGCTTTAATGCATCTTGAGAGATAGATGATCAGCTTCTTAGAGGGAGACCCCAAGCTAAGAAACCCAGCCCCTTATATAAGCCTAGGAGCTCCGAGTGAGACGTGTAGAGCCGGGATTGGTGGTTTGCACATCACCCCAGATGACGCCACGGGAGAGGCACAGCTTAAACGGTTAACTCCAACTGACAGCAGATGTCAGCGCCATCTTCTAACGGTTAACTCCAACTGACAGCAGATGAGAGCGCCATCTTCTAACGGCAATAGCGATAGCGAGGGCGGCTCCTCACAGAGCATGAGTTGAAGGTCAGCCTAGTCTACAAAGCAAGTTCCAGGACAACCAAGACTACACAGAGAAATCCTGACTTGACTACAATACATAACTGAATGAATGAATAAATGTATAAATAAATAAATAAACTTTAATTATGGAAGGCTCCTATTTGTTATGTGTGATACTGTTACCCAAACCTGAGCAAGCACATCATTTCTTCAGCTTTAGATACTATTTGAATGCATTGAAAACATAGTCTGAAAGAACTAAACAAGACAGAAGATTGGGGGGGATAATTTAATTATTGGAAATGGGTCAACAAGACCAACCATGAAAAAGGTTATTCAGAGTTGATACACTGTACAATTCTGTGTTAAAGAAATAAAATCCTTCAAATTCTGTAGAATTCTGGGCCTTGGGTGTGTTAGGAGTCAGAGGATCCTAGAGACATTGCCATATATAAACTTAAATATTCAGAAAGTTTTGTTAAAAATACTATATGAAATGTAAGATAATAAAACACACTTCTCATTAGTGCATCTAAGCATCATATTTCTCCTTATACCATCTGAAGTAGTAAAGTAAGTACAATATTGGCAACTTATGGATAAGGGTGGATTATTCTTTAGGATAAACATTACAATCCACCTGAAATTCCAAACTTATAAATGCTGAGAAAAAATGCACATTGCAGTACCAAAGAAAAAATAATACAGCACTTTTAAATTGATGCTTAAATAACTTATTTCCACATGATTGGTTGAATTTACTTTGGTCTTCTCCATAAAACATGGTG